AATACTGAGTTTTTCTGGTTTTAAGTCTGAGTCCTGGCTCTTTCCTCTTAGAAGTAGAATGCATGCAGTGCTAATTGTGTCTCCGGGATTTCTGCAAATGATTGATGCCTGAGGAATTTCTGAATTGGTAGATGGGTGGGTCCCAGAATGAGGCTCACAAATCTTGGTTTCTGGGCTCCCCCTTGGCCATTTGTACAATGGGCTGATGGGTTGGGGACCCCTTGCCTCCCCATTGTATTTGACTTTATTTCCAGTTCTGTGAATGTAGCTGAGGTTCTGACCCCTGGAAACATCTTTACTATGGCTAATAGGATCAGCAGAGAAGCTGCTAGAGACCATGAAAAGTGAGGCTTCTATGCCTCCTGAAGCCTGTGTGATTTACAGTAAATCTAATGTTTTGAGAACTGGTGGCATCAAATGTCTTGGGTACTTTCAAGGCTACAGGGATCCGGGCCCAAGTCCCCATGGTCAGGGACAGAATGGCAGTACATCCCTGCTAAAGACCAAAGGAGGGACAGGAAACGGCAGGGATTAAACCATCAGCAGATGTGAACTTCAGTCCACACTCCTCCCAGGACAGGCTGGACTGCACTAACTGCTCCTCGGTGACAGACTGGACCCGCCCATCCAAATACTAGAAAATTTGGGTAGAGAGAGGACAGTCCTGACCCCAAACTTCTCTCTCTTCCATCTCATTGTAGATGGGACAAGTTGGTTTCAAAATTCCTCCACAGTTACCCCTTGGTTACCTTCTCAAACCCTGGGCAGAATTAGATTCCTAGACACTCAGGCAAGAAAATCCTGTTTTCTTTTGTCAGGGGCCATGACCCCAACTTCCCCTGAGATGTTTTCCTTGCAGGAGATGGTAGAGGAATTTGGACTCATCTATATTCACAGAGCCTTGGCGTTAGTGGATCAGGAAGATAAAAGAGGGTGTTCAGGTCTCCAAGCAGTTGATCATCCCAAGTCTAGCCTGGGACTTAAGTCAGATGCAGGGAATATGAACACATCTGTCAGCTTGATTCTTCTTGATCACCAATACACACTGCCACCAATCCATGAGCTTATACAATTTAAAGACTTTAGAGTCTCAACTTTAGAGTCTCGAGAAAAGCTTGTCAATCCCCACACCCACTGAATGGATGAAGCGCACCTGGTCAGATCTGTACTCTTTATAAGGAAGATGTACTTTGAATCCAACTAGTTGTCACTAGATTTCAGCGGGGAGTCTCTCGTCCAGTGTAAACCACTAGGTTCAGTTTTAGAGAGGAGCAAATGCCTCTTGTGTTTACATTAACTTTCTGTGTACTCTTTGAACTCATCAAAAGGTGGCTCTGGAGATGGAGTCTGGATTTCCCATCAGACCCATGCATGTTTTACTTCAGTGCCTCCCCCCAACCACTTTTCCTGAGTCAGATGACCCTCCAACTCTGTGACAGGGATAAAGGAGAGCCACAAACAGCCAGACGAGGACATTGTGTCTCCTGCAATATATAATATAAAACTCTGTTTCTACTGCTTACATGCCTTCAAAACCAGAAGCATAGTTATGCTAGGTCACTCTGTGTACTGTATGAAGACTGCCTAGGGTTTTCTATAAGGTTTACCGGGGACTTACCATGCCCCTATACGCTCATAAGCAGTGGCACTATTAGGAGGTGTGGCTTTGCTGGAGTAGGTGTGGTCTTGCTAGAGGAAGTGTGTCACTGTGAAGCCAGGCTTTGGGGTCTCATGTGTGCTCAAGCCACACCCAGTGTCTCAGTCACTTCTTGTTGCCTGTGGGTCAACATGTAAGAATTCTCTGCTCCTTCTCCAGCACCATGTCTGCCTGCACGCTGCCTTGTTTCCTGTCACAATGATAATGGACTGAACCTCCGAACTGTAAGTGAGCCACCCTCATCAAACATCTTCCTTTATAAGAGATGCCATGGTCATGGTGTCTCTTTACAGAAATATAAACTCTAAGACACCATAGTTTGACAGTATGTATACAGGTAATATGAATTTAATACCTATGCAGTTTGGATTCTCCTTCTTTTACTAAAGGGTTGTTATATAGCACTATCTTCTAAGCCATTAACTGTCATGACATTGCCTGTGTCAACCTGCAAAGGATTGTCACAGATGAGCTTGTTCGGTGCTGGTTTTTTAATATCCTTGCTTCTCATAATGTGGCTGGGTGTTTTTCCAGAGTAGAAAAGAAATCTAGAGAGGAAGCAGGTTACGAAGGTCTGCGAACATTATACAGGTTCATAAAAGGTCAAAGTTCATAACATTGACATCACACCTCTACTTGAATCAATAAGGTTATTGGCTACTCTCTGTAACAGTTACAAGGACTGGCTTAAAAACAAAAATATACATCTAATCCAAGTTTAAATGTCTGGGTTTTGACCAAGGTTTATCCGAATATTTCACAGCTCCAGACTAGTGTAACCGATGTAGGTGTTCAGTAACCATCCTTGGAGGCTATGGTAATGTATGGCAGAGGGTTTAAAAGGGAGGATATTCCCACCACCGTCCACGGTCAGCTAGGTCTCAGGGGACTTCGAGGCATATCTGTAGGGAGTCGGGCACTTGTCCTCTTGTTCAGGGAGGCCATGGAATCTTCTCTCTCTTTTAGATTGAGGCCTCCCTAGGCCCTGCCTCCCCTCAGAATGAACCACTTAGAGTGGCCATTGTCCCCTCCCACCCCCACGGTGACAACATTTGGTGTACATCTCCGAGAGGCGGGGCACAAAACAGAGTTAGAGGGGCATAGGTAAACTACTAAATCAAAAGCAGACTCTCTGGGACGGCAGCATCTTGTTCCCCGAAGTCATGGTGGGAGGAAAGAGTGGGAGGCAGGTTCTGAGCAGGTCAATGGAGGAAAGGGCAGCTAGCACCCAAGGGCCCCACAAAACCCGTCAGCGTCTGCTCAGGGACTTGCAGCCTCAGGCCCTCCAGGGGAATACATTCCCTCTCTCCACAGCTTTCCCAGGTGTTCAGTTCTGTGTCTGTGCTAGGGAATGAACTCAGAAATCCCCTCGACTGCCATCATCCCCGGTGCACGGCCTGTGGTATGATACTGTGTGTGGTGTGAATTGTGGTGGAGGTGGTGTGGTGTGGAGTATGTGCATATAGGCACAAAGCATGCCTTCGTTTTAAGGTTAAGGTGGACAGTGTTTGTGGGGTGTGGTGTGGTGTGCATGTGACATGGTGTGTAAGGAGGTGATGTGTGTGGTGAGAGGCATGCGCATACATAAAGCACGAAGCAGATCTTCACACTCAGGCAGACGCGGACCCTGTCGATTTAATCTTTGTTAAAAGCATCACAAATGATTTATTGGTCTTTTTAGAAAGGAGAAACAAAGAATTCATCACCTCTGCTATGCCCACACGCCAGGTATGCACAGGGCCCAGTGGAGAGTGGCACAGGGCCCCTGAGCTGGTAGCAGGGAAACCCTGTGCCTGCATAGCAGCCTGCAGTCATGGAGATGAGAGCCGCTGAGGCTCTGGGGTCTACACACTCGGAATGTTCTTAATAGAAACAGTAACATGAAATCCAAATAGCTAGGGAAAGCCTACCCAAGTGTCCTTGCAAGTGGCACGGAGTACTCACAACAGGCAAAGACCTCTAGTCGGTACTCCAGGCACTGGTGAGCTAAAGGGGAGGGCTACGTCCAGGGATTCTGTGCTGGCCTTGGACCTGGGACTGTGTGGTGCGTGAGCATCTCCTGTGTGACACGGGGAAACAGGGATGTGGGGACATGTACAGGGGGCAGGCCTCTGCTTAGGTTTCTTTTGAGACAGCAAGAAGGTAAGTTTCATCGCCTTCACTGGTATGAGGTTCCCATTTGTAGCCCCTCACAAGGACAGCCTACAGTCACCTCTGGAGGGATCCCTAATCCCCAGAGAGTGGCAGTAAATGAGAGTTGCTGGGGTACAGTTGGGAGACTCCACAGATCATCCTGGTGCCCCACACAGCTGCCTTGTTCTATGCTATTCTGTCTGTGACATGAACATTCGGACACCCAGCCCACCCCCTAACAGAAACCGAGAGCTGGAACGGTCCCATGTGAGGGTCTGTCCTGACCTCTCCTCCCATATAGGCCACATCTCTTCCCCAGGGAGAACTAGCAAGAATGCTGGTGGGTGGGGCCAAGCAGCAGCAGAGGGAGTACAGATACCTTGGCTGGAGGCCAGCCTGGGGGGGGGGGCGGGGCAGCAAGAGTCTGGAGGCGGGAGGAGGAGGGGAAGGAAAACTTCAGTTTCAAGGCAAAAGGTGAATTGTGCCAGCTCACAGTGTCGACCTGTGCCGGGCCCCTGCACAGTGGGAGCAGGCAGCAGGCGTCCTGCACGGGAGGAGCGGAGAGCTGGCCCCAGCTACTGCTGTCGCCTTCTGTCTGTGACCCAGCAAGGCCACCAGTCTCCAGGTCCTCTACTTCATTTCACTAGGGGACACTGCCCATCCACACCTCCTCTGGTTGCTTCTACATGGGTCTCTCAAACCATGAGGCATCAAAGCCTGGTGTATGCAGCTATGTGCCTTTCTGGGGCCTGTGAACTCTTCTAGAGCCCAGACTTGGCCAGAAGCCACCTGGGGCAGTAGAAGGCCAGCTCCTATTGGCTGAGCAGGAACTTCATGTAGGGGTCCCTTCCTTCCTTTTCCCCCACCCACCCCCACCCCCACAACCCTGAGGGAAAAGCAGAGGATCTTTGCCCCTCTAAGCCCAACCCTGGGCATCCTGAAAAGGGGGTTCTGAGGGTGGGATTCTGACAGGATTTAGATGGCTTCTGTCGCCTGGCCTTGAAAACAGAAAGTAAAGGAAAGAGCCCCCAAACTCAAATAGCTCGACCGAGGCAGGTATTTACACTGCAGTGGAGTGAGTAGCCATCTGGAGGGTGGTGCTGAGGAGGCCTGGCCCATAGACTTCCTGGCTCTGGGGTCCTCTGCAGGGACAGAGAATGTGGGGCCAGAGCTGATCGGTCTATGTGTCTGGTGCTGGGGGTGCAGGCTCACCCCAGGTTCAGCTCCAGGCAGGAGAAGCCAGGCCCGGCCTGAGCTGCATTTGCAAGTTGGAGCAGCCAGGGCCGCACGTTCGGGTCTAAGGACTGTGATGCCTCAGAGTCAAAGGTTGGGACTTTGTATGGCACCACAGGCCTGTGTCCAGGCGGGTCATGAATTGGCTGCCCCAGGATCCCGTGGGCCAACTGGGGCTGACAGGGAGAGATGTCTGTCCTCTGAGTGGGGACAGCTAGAGGAGATGGCCTTTCCATGGGTCTCAGGGGCTGCACTTGTGATCCTGTACCCTCTGTGGAGGAAGCAGGAGGAGAGTGTCCTGGCCAGCTGGTGCCATCAGCCCACCAGGTAGCTATGCATCTCACGTGAGTTGATGCTCAGGACCACACCTGAGTGGTTGCCTAGGGAACAAAGGAAGCAGCCCATTAGTGGAGATGGCGGAAAACAGACCATAGAAGAACACAAGTGACCTCAGCGGCCAGTGGGGCCAACATGCGGTGGGCACCGTGACATTCCCTGTGCCTGGTGCAGGGTGGGGGGTGGGGTCTCCAGTGTCCTTGGTGGTGACAGGAGGGAGGTGCCAGGTGCCATCACAAGCAGTGGTCCAGAGGACTGTTCAGTGAGGCACCCACTGACCTGCGTGAGGGCCACCCCTGGCATCGGCAGCAAGGGGGCGCAGGAAGGGCTGAGGATCTGCCCCCTCTTGGTAAAAAACACTGGTGTGAGGTATGGTCCAGGAGGCAAGGAGGGGGATGGGGACCACAAAGGGAGAGAGGGAAGACAGCCATGGTCAAAGACAGGTTAATAGATGTCCCTGTATGAGTTGCATTATGAGACCAGGGATGTTCTCCGTAGAGCCCGTGTCCCTCTCTTGCTGTCTGCACAAAACAGATGAGCGGAGACAGTACTGGTGGGAAGGGGCTGGTGCTACCCAGGCTGTGGGGGTGAGACCTGGGACTGGACCTGACTATTCATGTGACTCTCTGTTAGGGCCTCCACCTCACTGGACCTATGTGATCTGTGACATCAGTTGCTGGGGCACCATGGAAAAGAACTGCCACAGGTCCCCATTAGTCCATGCCAAGGTCCCCATGAAGAGTGCCCTGGTACTATTACTAGGAATTTACATGTCGCTGTGGGATAGTGGGCTACCATCTTCCTGAGACCCCCTATCCTTCTAGCACAGGCTATGATTTCTTTGCACGAGAGTAGGGTCCGGCTATGTGGGCAGTGCTTAGGGCTGCATAGCCCAAGGCTACATATAAAGCTATGCACAAGGCTATGCTCCTCCAGCTCCCTCTTGTCATATGATTGATTTAAAAGGCTGCTCCTGGGGTCAGACAATGACCAGAAGGTCTAAGGTCTGGGGCCTCCTGCACACTCAGTAAGTCACTGGTGGGGTTACGGTCCTAGAGGCTGTAAGTCCATCCTGATCAATACTCCTGGGCTGGCAGATGTGGGAAATGGATGGAAGGGGTAGGGAGATGCCCTAGCCCGGAGAAGGCCTGGAGGATGCAGGATGGGGTCTGATTGATCTTGCTGGGATCCAAGCTCAGCCACCAACAGCTAGCTGTGCCATCCCGGTGATGAAAGACCTTGTTGGGTCACTAATTCTCAAGGTGAGGGTCAAATGCCTGTGACAGCATTTGACAAAGCCTTGCTGTGTGCCACACTCTGCCTGGACACCCCAGCAGGATGCTGACTGCCACTGAGGGTGAGTAGGCGGTGGTGCCCACCAACACCACAGGGGCCTACGCAGGGCCTGTGTGGGACAGAGGTTCAGAGCAGTAGGGCTCTGGTTAGGCCTGGACAGTGTTCCAGCTATGGAACTACACAATGGGGAAAACGACTTAAGGGTACTGGCGGAGGTGGGAAGGGAGGGTGCCGCAGCCAAGGGGACAGGCCTGGTCCTCTCCTTGTGGGTATGACAGGAAAGAGGTCACCTGGGTAAAGATCCTGTGCTGTTCTGAGGGTCCACACACACAATGCTTTTGAACTCTGCCTTTTCAAACAAACAGCTAATGGGATGGGGGGAGATGGGGCCGGGCAGCTTCAGGCTCCTGTGAGGGAGCTCCTTGCCTCTGTGAGGGCTTTTCAAGCTGACCACCCACTGCCAGGAGAATGCCCTCTGACTTCACCCTGTACTACTGTCCAGGACTCATGGCTCTGGTGGACCCCTCTGTGGTGGGGGCAGGCAGGGTCCCCATGCCCCAGCTCCTACCCTGCATGGTGCTCTGGGCATCCTCACTGTGGCTCACGGGACTTGTCATCTCCTGCTCCTTCTCGTTGTGCATCTGGGCATACACCGTCCTGCCTGGGCGTTTCCTGCTGGTCAGAGGTACAGCTCAGCTTTGAATAAGGTCCTTGTGGGGGTATGGTGGAGACAGTGCCACACAAGACTGTTCCCCAGACAGCCCACCCTCCGGTAAGCTCCTCCACCCAGTTCTGCTGTCTACTGCTAACCGTATATAGTCACCTACCTTTTCTTTATCCAGGCATGCTATAACTGCTTAATCTCTGTCCTCTTTGTCACCTATGTCCTCACAGCTAGGACAGTAACACACACACACACACACTTACACACACTCACATGCACACACTCACTCGCGAGCACACACACACTCACGCACACACTCACATGCGCACACACACACTCATTCACGTGCACACACACTCACGCACACACACGCACACACTCACACTCACGCGCGCACACACACACTCACGCACACACTCACGAGTGCACACACGCACACACTCGCACGTGCACTCTCGCACGCACACACGTGTGCGCACACACACACACACACACACTCGCGTGCACGCACGTACTCTCAGCGCTGATTCAGTCCTGAGGGGCACTTGGTGAACTCTGTCCATCCAGACTTCCCAAGACTCTGCTGTCCACTTCTAGTTCGGGCCCCAGGGGAAGCAGAGAGGAAGACAGCACACTCTGCCCCACAAGCGCTTGGGCCCAGAGCCACAGGCAAGGCCCATGGTGTTGACAATAACTCCAGCCAGACGCAGAAAGGTCATAGGCCCATTCAGAGACAAGGAGACTGAGGCCTAGGAGTGGTGGTGGTGGGAGCTCGAGGCGGTAGGAACATCCATTCCCTTGAGTAGGAAAGCGTAACTAACTGTGCCCAGATGACGTGTGGGCCGTATCCCTTTCAGCAAGGGATATCCAAGTGATGGACTTAGATGTTGGAGGTAGCCCTCCCCGTCAGTCATTATAGACTCCTGGGTAAGCAGTGGCTTTCCTGTGGGCCCTGCAAGGGGCACGGTGTCAGGGAGAAACAGACTTATGGTGGCTGTGAGACTCAGGAACATTGAATGGCTTGTCACCTAGCATCCCAGTGCTGAGGACACTGCCAGTCAGAACACAGCCAGCCCCCAGCTGCCATGACCTAGGCAAAACTTAAAGCCCAGCTGGGTAAAAGGACAAAGGGACTGACTGGAGGGGAGCGGGCGGAGGGGAACTCTGGTTTCCCTCCACTGACTACTCAGAATTCCTCTGCCCTGCTCTGCCTTCCCCCCTGGGGCTGCCCGGAGCTTCTGGGAAGGGACATCTGGCCCCTTCCTGAGCTCTCTGTTTCTATGGCAACATATCCCTCCCTTCCAAACTCAAAGCTTGAGCTGGTCCAGAAAGATGGCCTTGGCCCTGGGGATGTTGGGCCGGCCTCACTCTGGACACATCTGGCCTCCTCCTCTTGGTGCATGGTAGGGAGTGTCCTGTCTTTTGGGCCACCTGCCCCTCATGCAGCACTCTTGGGACAGCTTGTAGAAGCTGTGGCAGCCATAGCTGAGGTGTGGGATGCTAAGATACAGAGCCGCAACCGGTCAATCCTGCCCCACCAGCCTTGAAGTTGATACTGCGCCTCCTTGGACCTTGCATCCTCATTTGTTGGGCAAACAGTGTACCCTCCCGGGAGGATGAATAAAGGAAAGGCTGCCCTGAGCCTGTGAAGAGAACAAGGCTGAGGAGAAGGGACACTGGGAACCTCTTGGCTACCAGCACAGGGACAGACTCACACCACCTTACTCCATGGCCTGTGGAAGCCACGCTGGGGCCGTGAGCTGCTTGTCACACGTCAAGGACGCCAGGAGGCCTTACCTTTTGAACTTGTAGAGGATGAATGCCCCCACTGCGAAGAGCCCAATGACAAAGAGGACCACCACAGCCCAGTAGCCACCACTGCCACTTGGCCTCTGAGGACCTAGAAGAAGGAGGAGAAGCTGTGGGCTGGCTGTTCCCGGCCCTGGTCTCGGTGACTCTACTTCATGTTGTCCAGCGGGCCTTGCCCATGTGGCTGCGTGGACGTGCTATATGGCTCTGGAGGACTGGCCTTTCTTCCTGGCGAAGTCCTACTACAAGTAGGGCCTACTTTGTCTAGGTTTCCTGCAGAGGGGAGAAGCATTCTTCTGCACTGGTGTTAAGTGAATTAATTGGCAGGTTCCTGCTGGTTGTTGTGGCTGCTTCCATACAAACCATGCCAAGATGGAAAGGCCCAGGGCTGACTGTGTAGGAGTTGGTGCACCTAGCCAGGGATGCCCCAGCCAGAAGGGTTGCTGGCAGCTAGATAAAGGCTCAGACGAGTCCTACAGACACTCTCAGCATCCACTGGCTTGGGCTCACACCCACCCTGCCCCAGAGAAGACCCAAGACAGGTTTGTCACCTGTATCTGTGTCCCTCAGGTCCACCAGGATACGGAGCCCTCCTCGAAGGATGAAGCTGATCCTGTGGGAGTTCAGTGCCTGCTGCACAGCTGCCAGTCTCTGTAAGCAAAGGGAAGTGGGAGAATCCTGGGATCTGGACCACTGGAGAGTCCCCTGGAGCTGGGAAGGGATGCTGCCTGATGCCTCTGTGTTCTCATCAAGGAATGGTCTGCGAGCCCACCAGCTGGGTTCACTAAGAGCCACTGGTGGTGCAGGTATCCCGGCCACCAATAAATTATCATTTCAGCACGGGACAGACAGAGAGGACACAGGTTTCAGTGTGTGGGGGTGGAGGACTTGGGGTGCTCCAGAAGACCCCACACTGGTATAGTCAGTGAGTCTTCCATCCAGCAAGGGGAAAACCACAACGATGAGACATGACAGGCCAGCCCACCTAAGAGGGGAGGCAGAAGGAGCTGCTGCATTTGGAAATTCTGGGGAGGAAACAAAGCCCTGCTCAAGATCCCTGTAACATGGCTATCAGGCGAGGCTCACGGCACACATCAGAGCTCGCCCAGGCCTCACCATCATTATGACACCACCCGTCAGTCACTGTCCAGGACCTAGCATGCAAACCCAGCTGTGCCCAATGACACTCATTTCCACATGGGATTACGACCTTTGCTAAATCCACTAGGCAGAGCCAGAAGCTGTGACAGCCACAGAATCATCTTTGCCTCCGTCCTGTGCCATGGACACTCATTATAGGCTCACACCGAACATACTCCTGCACACCGACACCAGGAGGTGATCAGCCCACAGCCTCTTGAGTGTCTGGGTGGCTACCACTGTCCCTGTGAACTTGTCTTCGCCTTCAGAATGGAGCCATTTGGTTCAAAGGCTACTCGGCACTCAGCGTATGGGGGCCTCTTTGATAACAGTCCCCAAGGTGTCCCTGTCAAGGCACTTCACTGAGGATATTCTAGGATTGTTGATCTAACTTCCAGTTTTCCCTGTCACTTGAGGTCCAGAGTCTCTCACAGTGCTCACCTGTGTGTCCGAGTACCCCTAGCGGTGAGTCTGATCTCGCATGGCAACCCTAGACAATGATGTGAGAGAGTGGAAACCATCCCCACACGTTGGCCTAGCCTCCTCGCCCTGGAAGCTGTCTATCTCACTAACCTTGGATGCTGGCAGATGGTGGTACCTCGGGTCAGACAGCATTACAGAAAAAAGTAAGCCTTTAAGGGATGTCCCACAGAGATGTGATTGCCAGGAATGACCCCCACCTACATCCTCAGCCACCCAGCCCTGCCATGCCGTGGCCTGCCTGGGTGGCCGTGGACATACCTTGTCACTTGTGAGGCTTCTCTTCCTTGTGGGCCTGGGAGGGGGCAGGAGCACATACAGGTCGGCTATGGTGGGCAGCCCTGGCTTTACTACAGTCACCAGCAGCTCCTCGGGGATGCTGGTCTCCTGTAGGGACAGGCAGAACACTTGGATCCTCTTCCTGTTCCTCATCCTTTTCCGCAGCTAAATTTCCAGCAACGCCTGCCCTCCCTTCCTGGCCACCTGCCCTGCTCCACACTCCTGCCTCTCGGTTCCCATGGGTTTCTGTAGTCCTGCCCCTCCCTCCGAGTATCCGACCCAGGGCATCAACCCACCACTTCCCCAGCAGCCCCAGCCTTGTCCCACCCTCATTCCTCAGCCCACAAAGCACACCATGGCTCAGGCTAGAATTGGAGCCCAAGTCACAGGGTACCTTGGAGAGAAGCCGGGTGACCACCATCCCCACATCCTCCCTCCACTCAGGAGTGTTGGGGTTAAAGGTGTCCAGGTCCCTGGAGAACTGCAGAGGCACCGCCTGGAACTGAGCTGGAAGGGACAGAGTAGGGCCTGTGAGGTCTGCGGTGTGGCTAGGACCCTGCACAAGGTAGCAATGCCACACCGCCCAGACGGCCTCACCTCTATCCCAATGGGTCTGTGTTTGGAGCATAAGGGCCCTCCTTTCCTTCGACCCTGACATGTACTGATGATGACAGTGGGGACAGGGGCATGGCCCTGCACACACCTGCTTCATGAGAGCTACTCCTCAAGTCACGGGGATACATACCCTATGACGTCATCTGCTTCCTCAAGGACTTCAACTCACTAGCCACCCCACCAGATCAACAGTCACATGAGATTAAGGGACCCATCTTTCACCCACATTTCATTTCTCAGGGCCCACGGGTCTGTTTCAGAGTCACATAAGCCCTAGGACCGGCCAGTCACCTTCACTATTTCCTTCTTCTTTCTCTCTTCTGCAGTGGGAAACAGCTATGCTGGGAAAAGGGCTCAGGGGACAGTGTTTTGTGACTTGTGGCCCACCATCCTCTGGTGTGGGCAGACCCAGATCCACAGTGAAGGGAGGACCAGCCCAGGGCAGCCTCATCCCTCGGCCTGCAGGCCCCTAATGTGACTGATGGCTATGGTCCGTGGCAGAGACGTTCCGAAGCTGAATGAGCTTCAGGTGTGCAGAAGGGGTAATCTCCTCCAGACACAGTATTTTACTGAGGGGTTGACAGCCCCAGGAAGAGTAGACAATGGAGCACCATCCCCAGGTCCTCTGAAGGACCATCCTCAGAGTGGAAAGTGGAGAGGCCCTTGGAGATGGCAACATGGGGCTCATCTGTTCTTGTTAAATCACTGACATATGATTCATTTTGTCAGAGAGTCTGGGGCTCTTCAATAAGGCCACACAGTCAGTCACAGAACCCAAATCCACTTGGACTCCTCCCTGCCATCCAGGAGTGAACAGGCCCCCTGCAGCGGTGTCCCCAGTATGGGGGGGAATGGGCGCATAACTCACCCAGCACACGGATGACCCTGGAGTCCTGCAGCACTGAGTTCCCACAGGCAGCCTGCACCGTCACACGCACATCCCCAGCATCTGTAAACCGCGTTGTCACTGAGTTGTCCAGGGAAAGCAGAGGCTGTGGGCACAAGCAGGGTCAGACCTGTCTGGCAGGATGGCGAGCCACGATACACTGTCAGGAGCACACTGGGACTCTGCTGGCACTGGCTCTCATCAGCAAGGCTGCTGCTGGAGCTTTCTGCACTGGTTGTGACTGCGAGGGGTGGGGGACCCTCGCACACCCTTGTTCTAAGCTGCACCGGGAACATGCCCTGTCTCCATAACATGGCACATCTTCTACAGGCTGCCCATGGTACCCCATGGCTCACCGTGCACAACACAGCACTGTGAGTGAGGCCAGTGAAGCCTTCCCTGGCCACTCCACTAAAGAAAGCTTCCCCTGAGTTCACCTGCGATGCATGTCGTACCTACTCGGTGACACATAATCAACTACTCTGTTCCATTTCTTTCACAGGACTATCCAGGGGTTTTTCAGATGCTCAGCGAGGGAAAGGTCAGGACCAGCCCCTTCTAACGGTCTCACACTGTACCCTGATGTCAGGTACCGAGAGCAGCGCCTTGCTCCACTTGACACACCAGATGGCAATCTGTGGGAGCTAGGACTGAGAAGGGGTGTAGGGCGCACCTGCAAGCTGTGGCCGATCCACCAGTAGAAGACAGTGAGGTTGGGGTTCAGGGGCAGCAGCACGGCTGTGAGGTTCACCTCCTGATTGATGCCAATGACAGGGACAACCTCAAGGTAGAGGGCCTGCAGTGGGACTAAAGAGTCCCCAAAAGTTCAGGGTTAGGGGTCAGTGAGGCACATAACCTTTCAGTGGCTACATCTCTACCATCAGCACCACCATCATCAGCACCACCATCATCAGCACCACCATCATCATCACTACCAGCACCACCATCATCACCACCACCGTCACCATCACTACCAGCATCACCATCATCACCACCACCGTCATCATCACTACCAGCACCACCATCATCACCACCACCGTCACCATCACTACCAGCACCACCATCATCACCACCACCATCATCATCATTACTAACATAAGAACCACCATCATCAGCACCACTCAGTACAACCCATTACCATCATCACCATCAGCATCCCACGTCCATCATTATCATCACCAATCATTATCACCACTCACTACAACCTATCACAATCATCCCTATTCACCATCCCCATCACCACTACCATCCCCACTAATGCTAAGGTTTGAATCTAAACTGTTCACTGGTTCACGTTATGAATGTTTGTTCCCCAGCTGGTGGTGCTGTTTGCTTGCTCTTTAACGGAAACCTCAATCTCTGATCCCTGTTCCACCATGGCATGAGCAGCCTCTGGCTGCCACATACTCCTGCACCACGCCAGTCCACTGCGCTTCCCAACCATGAATGATTGAACCCTCTGAAACACTGAAAGTAACCCATTCCTCCCTCAAGTTCTTCCTGTCAGGTATTGTGGCCCCAGAAAAGCAATAGAATCGGTTGCAGGTATGTGGAGTTGCCGCTGTCACTAAATCTGACCCTGCAGGTTTAAACTGTTTCAGAGGGGGAGAATTTGCTATTGTTGTGGGGAAATAATTTGGAAAAGTGGTACTGGATTTTCAGGCACATTGGAGGCAAGAGTTACAGGGTCATAGATGCTTGTACTCAGATTTTAAAGGGAAGGTTGTCAAGCCAGGCAATGCGTGCATGGAGGGGTTGAATCTTCTCTATAACACGGATTAATAAAAGATCCAAAGGCTGATATTGGGATTCAACCTGAAGATCAGAGAAACAAAACAGCCACCCACTAGTGCTTACCACTACCTCAGGCTGAAAAGGCTGCCCGTACACTAGCCCTTCACCAAGCTTCAAACAGCCGCCTCTCCTCAGTGTGGCTGGAGAATGAATGTCTCATACTTAATACTGAAGACCCTGCTTCTATCTTTTATAGCTCTCTAGTGCTGGGATTAAAGGCATGTGACCTGTTACTCTTTTAGACTGATTCAATCTCGTGTATCCCTGGGTGGCCTTGAGCTCAGAGACTCTTAATCCTGAGTCCTAGGACTAAAGGCGTGTACCACCACCTCCTAGCTTCTGGCTGCTGGGATTAAAGGTGTGTGCCTGGCTTCTATGGCTTGTGGCTGACTTTGCTTTCTGAATCTTCAAACAAGCGTTAATAAATCATAAATAATATATCACTACACTCCTGCAGAGGGACTTTGACATGGCAATTCATGACATTCTGAGGGTGAGGCCTAAGATTCACTGGAGACCCTGTGTGGGATGCAGGAACACGGGGCATCTGTAGAGGAAGCCTGCGGGCAATGAATGGAGCCTGTGTTGAGACAAAGAAGGCCGAAATGGGAAGAACAGAGACATGGCCGCCCAACCTCATGATGCCACCACACGCTCCAGGTGCTACGCACAGCTAAGGGACTCAGTGCTTCCTTGCTGTGCTTCAGTCTGGTTCCAATCAAATCTTTTCTTGATGCTTCCTTTTCTTCTGTTTTCCGGGAGGTGTGTGTGTGTGTGGGGGGGGTAGTGGATGTTTACTATAGACAGGAAGTTCAGAATTGCCTTTTACAAGGACTGCTAAGAGACTTCTTTTGACATGTAATGGAGTCTCTGGGCTTAGATGCTTGAACATTGGGACTGTTGAGACCATGGTGACTCATAAAGTTGTGCTGAATGCATTTTGCATTAGAAATGTATGCTGTGAGCCGCTGGGGGCCACATCTAGACAATTAAGATTTAACTAGACAATTAAAGTTTAATTAGGTTCATGTCTTAGTTTGCATTTCCCATCTAGAGACACTCTTTGAGGAGGCTGGGGGACCTTTAGGAGTGGGTCTAGTTGGTAGAAGAGACTGCCATTGGCAGACCAGCCGCTCACTCCAGCCTCATTCTGATTCTGGAACCACTGTGATGTGAGGAGTCCTCCCCTCCCCCCGCCCCGGGTCCTAAGTGCTGCTCTTGCTATGAATGACATGATGTCGTATGAAACCCTGAGCCAAATTAAATCTTTCTAAGGTGTTTCTGGCGGGTAGTACAGTCAAAACCATGGAAAAATAACTAATGCAACCACCACCACACTCATTAACCACTATAACTACCATCACCATCATCGCCACCATCATCATTATCACCATCACCACCATCATTAACACCACAATTTTCACCAACATCACCATCATTGCCACACTGCTGTCACCATCATCAACACAGCTATACCATCCCCACCACCAATCTCACTATCACTATATTACTATGCCTATCATTACTACTAAAACTGTCACCATCAGTCATTATCGTCCGTATCACCATCACCATCGTTGTCCCTCATCATCACCACCACCTACAGCATCATGTCCATCATCACCATCATCACTAACATCCTTACCATCACTTGTGTCACCATGACCAGTACTATTGCCACCCCTCACCATTACTTTTGTGAATAATATCGGTACCAGGTCCATGACCTCACTGTCCCAAGGACCTGTAGCAACCCCACAAAACTCGCTGTGCTTCCCCAAAGCCCCAGCTCTCCATTTCGTGGAGACACACGGTGTCAGAGGAGCGGTGGACTTACAGTTGACCTGGACGAAGAGCACAGCCTCATCGTGGCCTGCCATGTTCTCAGCCCTGACAGACACGCGGTAGATGCCAGGACTCTCGTAGTGGTGCCGGATGGGCTCGCCCGTCAGAGTGAGGTTCACGTACATGGCCTTGAAGCCATCCCCGAGATCCACCTGGTACTTAGTGGTCAGGACATCACCCTGTAGGGGAATTCCACAGGGTCACTTAGGAGTGACTGTCAAGGTGGGGTCCAGCTCACTCCTTCTGTCCCTGCTCTATGGGGCCACAGACGGTAGGTTGGCTCTGATTTCAGGGCATTTAGGACTTATGTTTCCTGCTTTTAGGAAAGCAGGTTGAAGGCTGTGTGGGGTTTGGGAGGAAGCCTGAGCCTGAGCCAGACCATGGGGCTGGGAGGGAAATTGTGAGTCTCACATGACAATGGAGAAAGCTTTGGTAACCACCATGAGGTCTTTTCAGGGAACCACAGCAAACAAAACACAACAGTCGTTCTATGACAAGGTGGCTCCCTGTGTCTTGTCTCATCCTACACTGTGCCAGGGAAGAGGCTCAGCTGTGTGGAGCAGGCAGGGAGGGGTTCCTGTGACTTTGTCCCCAAGTGCCATTAAACTCCTCATGGAAGCTGCTGGCTGACCCTGACTCTCTAGCTCATGACAGACAGCATGGAGTCCTGTGTCCACACTAAAGTTCCCCTCCCCTGTCCGCCTGCCTCCCTCCCTCTTCCCCTCCCCTGGTTACCTACACTAGCAATCTTCCTATCTCCATCCAGACCTCAAACGCCAAGAGCGTTTGTATGTAAATGATGCTCATTTAACTTCCTCTGTGAATACACTACACTGGGTTGCATAGAGTCACCCCCAAACCCATGTCTGTTGGGAGCCTCTGAAACGGACACTTGAAATAAGTCTGCAGATGCAAGACATTGGGAGGTCACAATGGGGCATGGAATGCAAGAAACCCATGGCAGGATCCTTGAAGAGAAAACAGTGTGACCTGGCCACCAGGAGAAGGCTGTTTGAACACAGAGACAGATCCTGGGAAGTGCAGCCATGAGTTAAGGGGCTCCCAGAATGCTTGGAAGCGGGCCAAGGCTTTGTTGGGGCATTCCTAGAACCTAGCACATATGGTGCTTCATGCGCCCATTTTATAGGCCGCAAGACTGAGGCTTCCAGGGATCCAGGCTCTGGAGGTAGGCTCTCTGCCCATTGCTCTCCTGGTAGGGTTGGGTGAGGATTGAGGAGAATGTCCACACCCAATTCATTTCTATGAGGGGGCCGGCTGTGGGTAGCATTCAGGAAGGGGGTGTCTGCCTGTGGTTTTGAGGTCCCCATCCTTCGCAGTGCATGCCTTCCTTCGTGTACATCTTCCCCCGTGTGCTCGCTTGCCACCCATGCAGCCTGCTGCATCCACTGTCTCCCCGTGGCTTTTGCTCATTTTCAAACGGGCTGGTTCATCTATTGACGGGAGGTTCCCTGCACAGCCCTGTTCTGCTGCCCTCTGGGCTGCGCCCACAAACGCCCTCCTGCCCACAGTTGCCTTCATCTTCTTGAAAGTTCCAAATCTAGATGGCGCTGACACATCAAGGTTTCATTGTGTGGCCCGGAGCCGCGCCCATGCTGAGGACTCCCAGTCTGTGTCTGGATTGGCTTCAGTCCTAAAAATTTACACTTTCCCAAGTCCTCTGCAGGTGTGTGATCTATTTTGGGTCTGTGTCTGAGGTCTGGGGGGAGGCTGTTGCTGGATGGAGAGACGCTACCTCTCCCAGGCTGTTCTGCACCTGTCAAGAGCAGGCAGGTGTCTATGGGTCCGTTCCTGGTCTCCATCCCCCTACGCTGTGAATTCTTAGATACTTAGAAAATGCAGGCTCCCCACATCCAGCCCTGCTTCGAGCCCGGTGATGTGTAGGTGTGTGGTAGAGGAGAGCACACTCTTCCTATAAGCGTTTATGAGTGTGTAAGGGATTTTGTGTCACAGTGTAAGGGAGCAGTCCCATGCCCCTACCTTCGTCCCTCCCAGGCCTGGGTTGCCCCAGGATCCCCTATTTCAAGGCATGGTTCTTCTCAACCCTGCCTGACAGGCAGTCCAGCAAGGGTTCCAAAGATGCTAGGTCCTCTAGTCCTGACCCAGCAGAGGCGCCTACCTGTAGATGTGCTGTAGTTTCCAGTTTTAGGCTCTAGGGGGAAGCAGATAGCCATGTTTCTGGGATGTCTGGCCAGGAATTTGAGAGCCTCTGCTGGGTCTGTCTGAGGGGCCCGGGAGTCCCAGGCTGACCAGGGGCTCTGTCCTGTCACTCCAATACACCACTTCCAACAGAGATACCCAAGGCTGCCTCAGGGCTGCTTGATGGCTCAAGTGAATCTCAGTGCTGTCACAGTCAGAGGGCAAGAGGTGGTGTGTGTGTGTGTGTATGTGTGTGTGTGTGTATGTATGTGTATGAGTGTGTATGAGTGTGTGTGTATGTGTATGAGTGTGTGTGTATGTGTATGAGTGTGTGTGTATGTGTATGAGTGTGTGTGTATGTATGTATGTGTATGAGTGTGTGTGTGTGTATGTGTATGAGTGTGTGTGTGAGTGTGTGTGTATGTGTATGAGTGTGTGTGTATGTGTATGAGTGTGTGTGTATGTGTATGAGTGTGTGTGTATGTGTATGAGTGTGTGTGTATGTGTATGAGTGTGTGTGTATGTGTATGAGTGTGTGTGTATGTGTATGAGTGTGTGTGTATGTGTATGAGTGTGTGTGTATGTGTATGAGTGTGTGTATGTATGTATGTATGTATGTATGTGTATGAGTGTGTATGAGTGTGTGTGTATGTGTATGAGTGTGTGTGTATGTATGTGTATGAGTGTGTGTGTGTGTATGTGTATGAGTGTGTGTGTGAGTGTGTGTGTATGTGTATGAGTGTGTGTGTATGTGTATGAGTGTGTGTGTATGTGTATGAGTGTGTGTGTATGTGTATGAGTGTGTGTGTATGTGTATGAGTGTGTGTGTATGTGTATGAGTGTGTGTGTATGTGTATGAGTGTGTGTATGTATGTATGTGTATGAGTGTGTGTGTGTGTGAGTGTGTGTGTATGTATGTATGTATGTGTATGAGTGTGTGTATGTATGTATGTGTATGAGTGTGTGTGTGTGTGAGTGTGTGTGTGTTTGTATGTATGTGTATGCCCATGTGTGTGTGTGCGCACCAGAGTTGCACAGCTTGGGTCTGGGGACCTCAGACTTGGCCACTGTGTGTCTAGCGTCAAGAGGCCTGTAAAGGACACAGTGTCATCTCTGCCTCTCTTTACCATGTAGCTCCGAGAGAATGGCATCACTGTTCATGCCTCCATTTCCTCATCTAAATGTAAGATTGCATTTCCAACAGGAAGTGGCTGTCACAGTGCCTATTGTACAGGTAGGTGCTCAGTGTGGCCAGTCTGAGTCTTCGGTTGCCTCAGTTTCTCTGTTTTCAGGAGACCAGATTTCTGCTTCTAAAGACAGACACCTTTTAAAGGATGTTTGAGTACAGCATGCATGATCATGGATTTACTCATATTAGCCTTCACATCTGTTAGCTGAAGATCTGGACTCCTGCTGATCTGTGAGTGAAGCCTGCCCAGAACCTCAGGGAGAAAGAGGCTCTCCCTCTGCCTCTGTGAGTAGAGCCTGCCCAGAACCCCAGGGAGAAAGGGGGCCCTCCCTGCCTATGAGTAGAGCCTGCCCAGAACCCCAGGGAGAAAGGGGGCCCTCCCCTGCCTGTGAGTGGAGCCTGCCCAGAACCCCAGGGAGAAAGAGGCTCTCCCTCAGCCTCTAAGTTTTGTGAATGTTCATGCTTTTCTAATAGTCATTTTAAAACTCCTTGCAGGGATCATTAGCTGCTTCTATAAGCAAAGACACGGGGATGTGTCTTGTGAACCAGAAGGAAACAGAAAAGTTCCCTTGAGGAACAGAATTTTGGGTGATATTTATGTCTGTGTTTTTTAAAAATTATAAATGCATTTCCTAAATATACTATGACATATATTATTTTTAAAATCAGAAGAAATGTAACACTTGTTCTGAAGTAAAAATAGAATGAGTGGGAGACTGGGCGGAGGAAAATATATATATATATATTTGTGTGTGCATATATATAAACTTTTATTTATATCTATCCCCATATACACACAGAAGGCGTTATCTCTGGATGTGTGATTATAAGTCATTAAAAAAAAACTTTATGCTTTTGTTGGGATTCCAGATCAACTAAATCAATATAATTAGAGATTTAAAATAGCTTTAGCACTGGGCTGGGGGCGTGGCTAAGGAGAAGAATGCTTTTCTAGTCTGCACAAGGTCCTGGGTTCCATCCTCAGCATTAGAAGAAAGAAATCAATAAAACAGGGTTAGTGCCACCTATCGGGAGGGATCAATTTTGTACCAGTGTTTGATAGCCACAAGATCACACACACACACACACACACACACACACACACACACACGCGCGCGCGCACGCGCGCGCGCGCGCAAGATATATACACATCCATGCATTCATACATACATACATGTGTGATGTGGAGCCCATTTCCTGCTGATCATCTGACACACACTTGCTCTTAAATGCTGGTCTGAACCAACTTTGGTCCTGTGGCTCCCATCCAGCCTCAGGGGCAGGCTGGCCTCCTCTGTGGCCATGCTCCAAGCTGTCCAGAACCTTAACCTTGTGTGCCTGGCTGGAACCGCCCTTCCAGGGACAATCCACAGTCGATGCTCACCTGTTCCTGTCGCACCACAAACAGCACATCTTCTCTAGGCCGCACAGCTACTGCCTCTCCACGGATGCTCACCTGCAGGCCCCGGGGTGCCGTGAGGGGGCACTGCAGCTGCACCGGGCTCTGCTGCAGGTCCACACCACCTTCGCACACATTGGACACCACCTTTCGGTACCTGGGTGGATGAGGGAGGATCAGATTTAAGGTGGACAGTGGATGGATGGGTAGGAGTGGTCTCTCCTTAGGCAACTCACAGCTTCAACCTCTACAGCCCCATCTGCTGCCTGCTCCCCAGGCTACCTCATGGCTGCTTCTGTCTACCGTAGAGTGGAGAGCACTGAGGATGGGGATGGAGGGACTGGGCATGTCAATGTGCTTTGGAGAGCTGAAGCATCGATAGCCTGACCATATTACCCATAGTTATAACAACTGTTTTGCTAAGGAGACAGAAGGAGACTGTCTAAATCCAAGATCTTGCTGAGAACTATGGAGGACCAAGGTGAGCTCGGCCTGGGTTTCCTGGGTGGCCATAAGCAAGCATGTTGCTCTTCTTGGGTTGTCTCCACCCATCCACTACCCATCTATCCACCCACTCATCCACAGTGGCACAATGGCCTCTTTGCAGCCCCACCAAGGCTTGGCAAGCAGCAGCTCTTATCTGAAGTATCAGCCAGGACCTGAGTCAAGAGTACATGAGTTTAGAAAGATGGGTATTTGTGGGGGCAGAGAATGGGTAGATGGATTGATGGGAGGATGGGTGGATATGTGGATGGGTAGGTAAATGAATGGGTGGATGAATGAGTAGATTGATGGAATAAATAAATGGGTAGATGAATAGGTGATAGATGGAATAGATGGGTATAAGGATGAGTGGGTGGACAGATGATTTATGGTTGGGTAGATGAGTGGATGAAAGGATGCATATATGGAAGGAATATATAGATAGGAGATATATGGATAACAGAGAGAAATGGGTGGATGGGTAGATGAATAGATGAATGGGTGGATATATGGAAGGAATATATAGATAGGAGATGTTGTAATCAAATGGGTGGGTGGGTAGATGGGTGGAATGAAAGACGGCTGGCTGGCTGGCTGGCTGGCTGGCTGGCTGGCTGGCTGGATGGATGGATGGATGGGGTTGGATAGGTGAGTAGATGGATGATAGATGTCAAGCTACATACAGCTAAGACTAAAGCATTAAGTTCCTGGTCTTGCCTGTTTCTTCCAGCACTCCAGGGTAAGGAATCCTTCAAAATTATGGGGAAATGGGCCCGTCACTCAGAGCTTGGTATTTCTACATGAAGTTAATACTTTATATGTAGCGTGTTCAGCCTGCCCTGGGTGGGGAAAGGGGCCTGCCGGCCACTTCACCATCCCACGAAATTTGTGGCCACCATAGCAGACTGTAGGAACACTCACTGTGTGCCATGCATGGCCTTAGGCCTAGCAGATGAGTATGCCAGTGGCTGAGATTTCACCTACAGCAGAGGAAATCCTGGAAGTGGGGGCTGGGAGAATGCTCCACTAAGGCTTCTACCGGGAAGTCTGGTGTAAGCAGAATATCCCAGGCTTCAGGAATGTCTCTGGTACCATCACAGTATGAGTGTGAAAGGCTCAGGAAGACCACAGAAGGATGAGGTTGCTCTAGGGTCTCAGTCCCACAGTAGTCAGAAGACTTGGGACCACTTCTGCTCCTGTTCTCTAAGCTGTGCCAACTCAAGGCAGCTCTCTCCTGACATTGGCCCCAAGAGCTCGATGGTAAATGTGGGCCCCTGGGTCAGTCGGGTGAGTCTGATGACTTGCTGAGCCCTGCATACTTGAGCCCAGCACCAGAACCATAATCTTTCCTTCTAAGCTGTGGGCTGCTAGGAAGCACTGTACAAGGCTTGCCTGGGCCCCACTTCAGGAGTTGATTGACAGATGGGGGTGGAGGGGTTGGATGGATGTGTGGGTGAGTAGGTAGGTAGATGCTGGCTGCCTGGTTGGCTGGGTGGCTAGAGGTTGGCTGCGTTGGTGTTCTCACCCAAGGCTACTGGTGTAGGTCTGGCCCAGGACACAGTCTTCAGGAGGGGACAAGGGGTTGAACCAGAAGTTGGCCGAGCACTTGTTGGCAGCGGACTCAGAGGAAGATGAGCGCTCAAACCCGTAGTCACTGGGAAGGGAAAGCTGGGTTAAAAGGTGGAATCATAGATGATAGCTAGGGTGGAGACACTTACACACAGGTCCATCTGTGGGGACATTGGTAAATCCACAGGTTTGTCTCAGAGAACAGATGGAACATACTAGAACATTCCAGAACAAGGGGGATGGAAATGAAGTAGAGTCTGGTGGGCTCCCTGGGGGAAGCGAGTGACTATCAAAGGACGCAGAGAGATCAAGGGCAGCAAGGAGTAGCTAGCTGTGCAACCGGGGTCAGTGACCTTGGAAAGGGCAGGAGACCTGCATATGGGATGCAGAGGAGAGAGGATGAGGCAGGTTGGAGTGGAGACTGAGCTACATTGTCAAAGGGGAGTAAGCCTCTGGGTGAAATATATTCCCAGAGGGAGGAGAGGGACTAGGTGAGTGTGGCTTGCTCCCATGATGCTCTAAGGTGGCAGTGTGAGTCTGACTGGGCCCTGAAGGACACTGGGGCTTCCACCCTGGTTCTGGGGACAAGGTCGTCATGATGTATACATGCTGGAGCAGCCAGGAGGAAGGGGCAGCGCCCACCAGAGGAAGTCAGAGTCCCGGCACTTGCACACGCGTGCTGTGAGTGCCGACGTGAAGCTCCTCCCCTTGACACACCAGGACGTAGACTTTCTCTTCCGGTAACTTCTCTGCTGGCCCATGATGCAGCGGTCACCCTGTGGCAAGAACACTAGGATGAGGAACCAGAAGAGGATGGTGACAGTTACCACTGGCTTGTCCTGCTGCTCCTGCCCTGGTGGCACCTGGGGCGGGCCACTTGCCCCCTTTGACAAACGGGGAGACCGGGGTCCAAAAGAATGTGACATATCAGTCAACTGGCCCAGCCATATGACTGCCCCTTGGTGGTCACAGAACATCTGGGCCTACAGGGCCAGGTGTGTGACCATCTGGGGATGAGCCATGTCTGCAGGGTCCCGCGGACACAAAGTACTGCTCACAGGGGTACTGCTCTGATCCCAATAACAGGGCCCTTTGTAGTGCTTGGGACAGCACTGGCAGGAACTCTATGTGCTGTAGTGAATCAGGTGCTGTAACCTTCTCTAGACCCATCTGAGCACTCTCTTGTAAAGTAGACTCTGCAGAGTTATTGAGCTCCTAGCTCTGTGTGAACTCTTGATGTTGGATCTCCACTTACAGAGATATCTGGTCCCTGGATGATTTAAATTACTGTCCCAGCTAGAAGCTCAGAGTCCCCGACCTCAGGGGTCTCTTCTTAGGAATCTTCTAGCTTCTGATCTTCCTTGGCTACAAACCTCCACTTGATTTAGTGGCACACAGCAGCCTGCTCACAGTTTCTGGGTACCCACTGCAGGGTCAGCTTCCCTTGCGCCACCAGGCGCAAGGATGGCCCAGAAAATGTCTGGGAGGAAAGATGCCCAGAGGCTGACATCTGTGAGATTCCCTGGGGAGGAAAGGGGCTGCAGGTTGCCTGGCCCACCTGGAGGTCAGTGAGGTCCCAGGAGCTGTAGTCATCCTCGCCACACCGCCGGGGGAAGGAGGGCCGGAAGTCCACCTTGACCAGCTCCCAGTCAGAGCGGAAGCTGATGTGGCCAAAGACCCTGAGGGGAGAAAGAAAGACCACTTCAGGTGTGCAGACATGCCCTCTCTCAGGCTCTCTAACCCACACCTGTGATGCCTCTCCTGCCCCAGAGTATTCAGTGATGCGGCGTGCCCTCCACTGGCACCTGGCCTGATGTTTATCATCTTCAGGGTGGTCCCTATGTGTGGCTTGCTGACTGCACCAGCACAGGTCATCCACCTAATTCATGCAGTTCCCTTCCTGCATGAGCTGGCTCCCAGGAGGGTAGGCTCCAGGCCCTTCCATAGCCTCACACACCAGGCCTTACACTTGCTCTGTCTGGTGTGATCTGGTGTCTCCCTGCCTTTCTGCTGACCTCCCTCTGTCGGCCATGTGGGACTGGGCTCCAAGCTGTTTACCTCAGGTAGGGCTGGTACTCTAAAGAGATAACAAGTCATTGTGTGGATTGGACAGTAGGATGAATGGGTCAGTGTGACAGTGCAGTGCATCTCTCACTGAGGAGAGGGAGGCTAGACATACAGGAAGAACAGTGACACACAGAGGCTAAGCATGTTCAGTTTCCTATGCTGGGACCAGCATCCCACACTGGCTTCTACTCCTCCCATCCAACTTCTCTGGAGACCGTGGGTGGCCTTGTCTCGGGGTGCCTGCCATTCAGATGGGCATTCCCTTTGTCATGGACCCATCATCATGGGTCCATTTCTGTCTTCCCCTTTATTTAGGGCTTACCACAGCCTGTGAGGGATGCAAGCTGATTACCCCAGACTTCTGAGAGGAAACAGACTAAGGAAGGGACCCATCCAGGATGGCAGTCCAGTAGTGGTACCTGGGACTGGCAACTCATGTTTTGAGGCTTGGCCTGGGACGCATAACCAATTAGCCACAGTGTGACAGACAAGCAACTCCCTGTATAGGAACATCCCATACTCTGTAGTCTGAGCCCAAACAGAGAAGCAGACTGGACCATCTAATCCACTCTGTGCCTTTCAGTTCCTGTTGGTGAAGAAAGCCCAGACCTCAGCTCCCACTGTGAGCATCTCTCATCTAGTTGAGTGGTCCTAGCAGGAGAGACCAAAGAGCCGCTGGCTGCTTGACAGAGAACAGGAAATGTGGGCCATACTGTGGAGTGGCCTGCTAGCTGCTCCCTACAGCTCTGCCAGGCTGAGAGCCCTCACAGTACTGCCCAGGGCTGGGGACCCTCTGCCATGTGGGAGGCAACTGTGGGCAGTGCAGTGAACAATGTCCAGACAAGGCGATTGTGGTCGGCTTAGACGTGACCTTTGGGTGGATGGGGATAAAGGTGTCATGTGGGCGGGGCCCTGTTCTAGGCTGGGACAGAAACGCTTTTCATTCTGCCGGCCTGTGTCTCCTCCGAGGCGTGTGAATGATCTCCGTGTCCACTGAGATGGAAAGCTGTTTGAAGATGCAGCTCTGTGAAAGGCTCTGTAGGAATCTCACGGAGCTTTTTTAAAAACTTAAAACATGAATGCGCCTGCCTGTGAACTTTGCTGCTTTCACCGGATGAAATGCCATCTGCTGGGATGAAAGCTGCATTTGGGACAGACCTGGATCTGAGGACCTTGCCTGCACAAAGCACTAATGGCCCAAAGCGGCCACCAAAAGCAGACGACAAGATGGAGAAGAGAGGAGGGACTCGGAGGAGCTCAGGGCGGAAAGTGCTCCCATGGTGGGGCCTGGCTGCAGAAACTGAGGCCTAGGACCCATGCCAGCTTGCTTGGAGCTCTGAGAGCCCCGTCAGAGCTGTCACCTTTGTGATCAGCCCCTCTTCTTGCCTATGGGCTCGGCCCTGCTAACTGGTCAACCTCCTTGCAAAAAAGACCAAGGACCGAGCTGAGTCCGCCGCAGTCCAGGGAGCTAGGCTTCTGCACCTCCTTCTCTTGACAAACACCAAGCGCCACATTTCTGACCTCCCCTCCTGCCTCAAGCCATGGCCTTCAAGGCAACCCACCGCCCACAGACAGTGCCTTGCTCCTCATCCCTGCAAGAGCTTTGTCCTGTCTGGGCCCTGCCCAGTGTGGCCTGCCTTGCCTGAGACCCCAAGGAGAGGATCCTTCAGTCTGTGTCACTAATGTGTGTGACTGGGCAGCACCTGATGTGTGGTTAGAGCTCAGTGAACAAACTTTCAGTGAAGCCACAACAGCAGACATATGGGTGCTAAGGACACAGCGCCAACTTCCCATGTGCCAGGAACCGAGGAGGGATGTCAGAGATAGCCAGGCTAAGTGACCCCTACCAGGGACCAAGGACCGTTGGCCCAGGTGCATCTGCTGTCTGCACTGGCTGGTGACTGCCAGGGAGAAGGCTGGGGAGGGGCCTTGGCCTGCATGCTTCTCTGTCTCGGGGATGAGGAGCAAGGCCACTGTCCTGGCAGGCAGGAGGAATGTATAGCTTTGCGACTCCTCACCTCATATGCCTGAAAGGGTGTAAGGCTTGCTTCATGTCCTCCTGCTGTATTCCATCTTCCATTCATTCCCAGTCTGAGGACACCTCAGGACTCAGAAACCAGACCCAGGCTGCCTGGGGTGGCTCAGGCCTGTGTCTCCTCCCACCTTCCTATTTCACCCACGTTCTGTCACACACTCACGTCATGACCAGTGTCTCGTCCCCCGGCTCGCTCAGCAGCCCATCCACGAACACCGAGGTGCTGGTGAAGTTGTGTGTACTCCAAGTGTGACCCTCATCCACGCTGAACCTGTGGAAGGCCACCAGTGTTCACAGAGCAGCATGATCTTACTCCTTTCTATGACTCTCTATCCCCAGGCCTGACTCAGGGCCTGACTCAGTGGCCAACTCAGGGACCATCGCCACAACCAGGCCACAGCTGGACCACAGCCTCCCTCTCTCTGGTGAAACCATAGCAGATACCTCCAGCACCAGGCGATGGCCTGCTGCCCTAGACATTGTTAGGGTACCACACAGACACTTTCCGTGTGAATAGCAGGGACATCTGAACCTTAGAAACACCCACTGATAGCATGCAATGCTGAGCCCAGCTCAGTGACATGACCAATATTACAGTGGTGTTACTTCCCAGGGTATACAACTCTTTTTCGGACTACAGTGACACTGGATGCCTGGCAGTTTCCCAACTCTGCCTCCTAAATACCAATGTTATCCTGTCCTCAGTTTAGCCCGCTCCTACCTGGGCACCCACTGGCTTCCTTGTCTGCACACCCTGGCCCCAATCCTCTACTAGAGGTTCTTGTTGACACTTAGGGTGGCCCCCTGGATTCTTCAGCCCTCAACTTCCTTCACGTTACCCTGACTAGGCTTTGTACTCTCTGTACACCTGGGGCACCTCGGGAGGGTTGGGAGGTGTGGGTCATCCCTATGTTAGGATCTCCAGGATTTGTTCGGGAAAGCTCAGTGCCTTCTGCCCATGATCTTACTTGAGGATCTTCAGGGGGATGGAGGTATCCTTGATGGCAGCAATGACTCCGCCGTGGTCCAGGTAGAGGACGTGGTGTTCTTCCTCGAAGACCTGTGGGCGTGACACATACTCTCAGGTGAGACCCCAACAGAGCCTGTTCGAGAAGGGACGCCAGCTCTATTTAACACACCCATATCCACCCATGACTTAGCGCGTGAGGAATAAATGGGGCTTGGGGGATGGTGGCAATTTATCTACCCCGAGGGATGGAGAAAACTGTGGTGTGCACTCTCAGAATCTTGCCCCCACCCCAAACCCAGGTCAGCAAATAGCCTAGCAATGAGGGAAGCACAGTGTACTCAGAGGCAAGTTCAGGATGAACCCCCAGGCCGATGTGGGGTGCAGTGACAGAGCCTGGTTCCTGATACCTCTGAAACCAGGTGGTTGTGGCCACCACTGGCTCCCTGAAGTTCCAGCCCCACTGAACCACATGTGTCATCTTCCCTTACAACCAGGGAGCTACTGGGAGGCAGGTGACCTTTGAGCCCTCTGGGGCCATCTCAGTGGAGATCTGAGCTGGGTACCTGGGCAAGTCGATGAATACTTGAATGAATGGCCATCATTCAGATGAGTTAATGAACAGATACTCTGAGGATAAATGAATGAATGACCACTGAGAGGTTTGGGGGGTGGCAAAGGCATCCTGACAGGAGCTACCTAGGAGGGACAACTCTGTTAGCCACCGCCATCTGCTGATACCCTGGGGCCAGCACCATCTCACATACAGGAAGCTGGGCTCACAGCAGTAAGGCTATGCCAAGGCCTCACCGCCAGGAGCGGCAGAACCAGATGTGACTCTCAGTCACTCCAGGACACTAGGCCTTGTGAGCCTTTCAGTGGATTGGCACACACGGGCTATAGAGCATGTCCCCAGATGCTGTAAGGACCCTGCTACCTGGGTCATAGCTCCTTCCCTCTGGTGTGGGTACTGGAGGCGCCTGGGCTCAGGAGGTTAGAGAAGGACCTAATTATTAGCTGTCTCCCAAGACCTCAGTAAATTTTTTCATCTGCAGCAAGGTGACATGGGCCGGGAGAGAGATAAGAAACATGGTGGAACATGCTAGAGAGATGGGCATAGTCCAAGCTAGGTAAGGGCCAAACTGCTGCTTCCAGATGGGTGTGATCTACACCAGCCCTGGCTGGAGTGGGAAAGGTCTTAACTCTAGGAAACTAGGCCCAACAGTAACCTGGCCAGATCAGTATCAGGAAAACCGCTAAGGAAGCCTCAGACAGTGACACACTGGCTCTCCAGTACCTTAAGCAGCCTCTGGGGTGCAGAGCTGGGAGCGGACACAGACTCATCCCTGACCCAGCCTTTCTCTGTTCCCCTCAGAGTCCTAGCAGGTGGTAGAATGTGGTTAGTGAGGTCCTGGGTCATTCCAGGGAGCTCACAGTCTTTGTTATCCAGGGTTGGAGACAAGATTTTGCTCTGCAAACCAGGCAAGCCTTGAACCTACACAAGAATCTCCTCCCTCTGCCTCCCAGATGCTGGGGTTATGGTGAGCACCACCAGGCCGGGCTGGTGGCTCCTGGCTATGTCACTCCAGGGATGCTCTGCCCTCTGGCCCATCTCCACCTGTCAGTGCCTCTCTGGCCAAGGAGGAAACCCCACGGCAGCCCTGAGTGCCCCACCGGTCTGGAGCCATTGAGAATTCAGTTCCTTCCCTGACTTCTTCCCCAACTGTAACCACCTACAACCACTACACACATCCCTTCCTCCCTGACACACACATGCATGTGCACATATAAGCACACAGGTACTGCCCCATCAGGCACCTCACCTGTGAAGCCTTAGCTGGGGAACCTTAACCTGTAACACAGGCCCCGAGGCCTCCAAGCAAAACCTAAGCAAACTGTTTCACAAATGTGACGCCTCAAATGTCTATCGAGTGAGGAAGCCCATCACTGGTGAAGGTGGACAGACGGTGACCTTTAAGAACCTTAGAGAGGCTTCACCGGTTTTGGAAAAATAGAAATATTTAATGCGATAAATCTCTCCTGCCCTTTTGAAGATGCAGTGCTCAGTGCATCTTATTAAAACGGCAGCGACCTTAGTCCTTGATGCAGGTGAGCTCCGTATGCAGGGACGAGCGTTTGATGCCTGCTGGGGATGTGATTACATGGCCAGGCGTGGAGGAGATGACCTGGGAACAGGACTGTCTGCAGGCAGTTGGGCTTGGATGCTCAGGTCATCTTACAGCCAAATCACCTCTCTGGGAAGTTGGTAAACCAACTCAGCCAGAACCCACCCACCGTGGAAGGCAGTGAGTGTCTGTCTCACGGGCCCTCCTGCATGAGTGTGCGCGTGTGTGTGGGGTGGATACCTGCAGTCTCGGTGTGTCGTGGGCCTGCCAGCCCTCCTGTTTGTGTCCTCACTGTCCTGTGCTAAGGGCTGATGGCGGCCAGTATCCCTCTAACCAGTGGCCGGCCATGACATCCATGCGGACCTGTGAGTCAGAGCTGCACAGGGGGCTGCTGTTGAGCGGGTGACTCCCACAGGCAGGCTCTCCTTTCTTTCCTTTGCCATCCTGGGCCACCCCCCCCCATTACAGCAAGACAAGGGACATCCACCAGGACCCTAAATCTGCCCTTCCCACAACCTCTTCTATTTGTGTCTCCACTGTCTCTACCTGTTTGCCTAAAGGAGCTCAAAGCAAAGTAGGAAGTGTTCATGTGGCCTTCGGTCCCCTTTCCTAGCTGACCCCAGGGACACATCTGGGTGGAAAGTGCTTCTAGGATATATAATACCCAGCAGAATCCACAAAGCATTGGGCAGATGGCCTCACCCCGACGGGCCCCACCCCCGACAGCAAAGGCTTCAGCTGTTTCTGGAGCCCTGAGGCTGGCAGTCAGGTGCAGACACCTGGCTCAGGACTCTAGGGAGCCTCTGTGAAAGGAGGGTCACAGAGCAGATAAGTGTCCTGGAGGGCTGAAGAGCAGCAGGTACCGATGTCATCTTACCTGCCGCCAGGTGTGCCCACAGTCAGAAGTGATGTACATTTCCTCTTTATACTCCACCAGCTGCGAGCCCAGGTTACCTGACCCAACAGAAAAGGTTGCATTGCTCTAAGACCAGGCAGACCCAGATGATCAAGGTCTGGAGGTCCCCAGAAAAGGAAACTGTGCCAAGGCCCATATTTCTGCCATGGTCACCTACAGCAGGCCCTGGCTGCCTTTCTTTTCAGACAGTGGCCTGGTGTGGCTGCCGGGCTCAAGCTGGTCCCCTCTGGGCAGAAAGAGCTCAACCCAGCTGAGTCCAGTGCAAGGCCTCCAGCCTCAGGTCCAAGGTGAACAGGCTCGAGTGGTTCAGAATGCCCTCAGGTGTTACTTGAGGGTGAAATGTGTGATGATGGTCAGGGTCAGGCTGAAGAACATGGACTTGTGGATCCTGAGAGATGAGAGGACTTTGTAAGTATTTAGGGACAGTATCCTGGAGGCCATGTGCATGGGAGGCCAGAATGAGTCTGGGTAAAAGGCACACACACAGCAGATGCACATCCAGTTCCTGTGGAGGGGACATTGCGATGCGAGGAAGATGAAACAGGCAGCAGGGGCTGAGCCCTAGCCTGGGTCATCTCCAGGTAGACAGCATCCCATCCAAGATGCAGGCCAGCCCAGTCCAGAGCAGCTACCTCACATGAGCTGCTATGGGAGAGATGGAGGCTTCGAGTGAGGAGCACAGCCCTGTAGGTCCACAGCACAGGACACAATGGCTTCACAACCTGGGCCTGGCTTCCCCAGAATCCTACCATGGCCTGGAGCATAGGAGCTTTCTGTGGAGCCAGCTGGCTGCATCAGGATAGAATGGTCACCTGCCTGCCTGCCCACCTCTCCATCCACCCATCCATTCAACTACCCATCTACCTACAAACCCACCCATCCACCTATCTACTTGCCTATCCACCACCCACCCTTCTACCCACTCCATCCATACATCCATCCATCCATCCATACATACATACATACATACATCCACTCATTTATCTAACCACCCATACATTCACCCAACCATTTATGCCCATCCATCCATGCATTCATCCACCCACCTATCTACCCTCTCTCCATCCATCCCACATTCACCGTTAGGATTTCCAGGGAATTCCTGCCTCCTGAGAGGAGATACCCTGCCTCTAATGGACACACTATGGCCCCAGGCTCATGGCCTTCCATTCGCATCCATGAGACAGGAGCTTCCCTCAGGCTGTAAAGGCTGCTGTAGCTACCCACCTGCACCCATGATGAGGCCAGGGGCAGTGTCCTTGGTGTGGACTGTGCCCGACACATAGGGGTTGTCCGCCCAGCGCAGGTGTAGGTGCAGGTGGCAGTCCGGCTGTGGAGAAAAGAAGGAAGAATGATGGGCAGGTGGAGTATCCTAGGGAAACGAGTCCCGTGGCCGGATGTGCCCCATGGTCTTCGTCAGTGGAAACTGGTAGGAGTGCCTTTGGGTGAATACACAGAGGGTGGGAAGCTGTGCTCAACTGACTGCTGGCTGATGGGAGCAAAGATGAGGGTAACTTCAGCAGGAGCTACCTGGGGCCTAGGGAACGGAGGAATGGAGAAGGGGCTAACCAGACACTGTCTGCTGGAGATTCGAAGTCTGAGAGGGGGCCTCCAGTGGCTGCAACTTCTCCGAGGGAGGAGACTTGTGGCCTGGAGTCCCCTCAGGATGGGCTTCCCTACATGGGTCACTGGGTCAAAGAATGTATGTGATTCCTGGGGCTTGTGCAGCCCCAGCTCTCTTCCCTTCCTCCCTCCCTCCCGCCCTCCTTCCTGCTCTTCTTCCCTCCATCCATCCAGAACCTTTACTAGGCACCTTGTCTTGAGGTCCAATTCCTTGGTTTCCCATAGTCCTGGCCTATCAGGCCTGCCTAGGCTCTGCATGGGCCAGAGGTGGAAGTTCCTCTCAAGCTGCCCAGAGTAGAACCAGGTCATAGAGGCAAGCAGAATCCCCAAGGAGCTTGTACAGCAAGCCCAGATAAGGTGGCTGGCATGTGAGCTACCCATTCCTGGCCCTCTCATATGTGGGAGCTGGCAGATCCTCTAGAGAATTGCCCAGCAACTCAAATTGTGGATCACTGGGTAGGCAGAGGGAAGCGGCCGACTCAAACCCAGCTCTGTCTAGACGTATTTCTGACATGCTGGTACTTCTGAATACATAGGTTTTTGTGGGCTTCCAGTCAGGATCCCAGACACCAACAGATTCCAACCCATTTCCCAAATGAAATTCGTCCTGTTAGAAGAGATCTTATCAGGGATGGGAAGATGGCTCAGTGGGTAAAAGTGCTTGTTGTGTAAGCATGAGGACCTGAGTTTGATCCCTGGCATGCTCACGACAGCTAGGCACAGTCGCATGTACCTGAAGCCCTAGTGCAAGGGAGTGGCGGTGGAGACAGGTGGGTCCTAGGTGCCCACTGGCTTCCAGGCACTTTGCTTTGATCTCTAGGGCAATATCTGACCACTTTCTCCTCCTGCCAGCACCCTTGCACGGCCCCACCCCAACCCCGGACACAAATCTCACAGAGGCTGCCTCCTCACTGAGCTCAGTAATTGCAGACAAGAACCTTCTCTTAGCTGAAAGTTGCTTTGTTGGGTTAATGTGGCTTAACTTCCCCAAAGATGATACGAAAATTAGCCTTTCGTAGCGGTTTTGAACCCAGAAGGGTTTTTTAAGTGGCAGATGATGCATTCCCCATGCAGGTAGACAGGGGTTGCCAGCCTTCTGCACCTTCAGCGGGGCCTGAAGAGGGTGCCTGGGAGTGCAGTGGGATAGAATTCAGCACAGAGTGCCCATCCCTGCCCGGGCAGAGCTGCTCCTTAGGGCAGGCAGCTCATACTCGCTGGCCACATGGTGGCTATGGAAAAATGCTGTCTTTAGCGGCACCTGCCACTGTATACACTTCCTCTATCAGCCCCAGCCCTCAATAACATTCAGCAATGCTCAGAAGCAGACTTGGAAGACTCTGCTCCTGCTGTCCCTTGGACCTCTGCTAGCACCATGGGGTCACTCCAGCACTAGGCGGCTGGGCACGCAGGTATGGACAGCAGATGTCAACCTAAGTCAGTGGTGCCACCTGGAGAAGTCCCGTGGAGCTGAGCGTGAGTGAGGGACTGGGGCTTGGGGGCAGTTTCTCACACTGTAATTTCATGGAGATGAATGGTGTCCGTGATTCCCGCTGTGTGCATCTGCATGCTTGGCAGAAATCGGTGGCTTCGGTGTCTCAGCCGTACCCTGGAAATGGCATCTGTGCCAGTCTCTTTGAGGCATGTGACAGGGTAGAGTACCTACCGGCTGACAGTTGGTGGGCTTCCCATTCATGTCGGTGCTGGGTGGCCTCAGGTAATCCCAATCACGGCCCTTGTTGTAGGTTATGAGTGTTGTCACCTTGCCATCCACTTTCTGGTTTGCCAAGAAGACTCCCTTCACCCCTCTGACCTAAGGAGACATAAGAAGGACCATAAGGTTCCACACAGATCATGTAGAGCAGCCATAGCCAGGCACTGCCCCTACTGAGCATGCTGCATGTGGGCTTTGCCTCATCCTGGATGCAGCCTGACACGTGGAGACTGGTCCTAGGCTTGGATGGAAGAGTTCTGTCTGCTCCAGGATCAGGGGATCTGCAGAGCACTGAAGTATTTACCCGGTACCCTCACCAACTAGTGTATCTGACTAAAGGGTCCCCCTTTCACCACCCCCACTCTGGATCCCAGGATCTGCTCACTTGTTATGTCTTAGACCTGTGCCACAGCAAGCACTCCTTGGCTTTCCTTGGGGCCCTAACAGCCCCCTGCAACAATGGGAGGTCTTTGTTTGTCCTGGCATGCACTGGCAGGACTCCACTTCGTTTTTATTTCTCTTTCTCAAGAGGTCTCACAAAGTTCCAGCTCAGATTGCAACACCCAAGTGTGGCCACTGAGTTGATGCATAAGAAAATCCAAGAGCCAGCCATTTGATCACATTAAACCCAGTGGTGCCCTTGCAGGAACACACTATTCAGGCCCCTTATTGACAAAGACTTAAAGTCACATTCATGGAGCAGTTGTAGGGCAGTGTGACAGGTACAGGAATGCTCCTTCATCCAAGACTCACAGCAGAGGTTTCTCTACTACTCCAGATACAGCATGACGTCACTGCTCACAACTTGGGACTGGGGCTCAGACAACTGTGAATTTTACTCAAAACTTTAAAGCCAAGGATTATAATTAGGCTGTCACAGCTACCGAGGTCATCGGTGCTCTCTACACATAGGCACTGAGCTTAGAATGCATCATCTCACTTGAATCTGAAAAGTTGATGCCATTATTCTTCATGTACTTGTTTGCAGGTGGATGGTCCACCAGAGATGCACTGCTTCAGATGTAGGAATAGAGAGAGGAATAGGTAGGTAGATGGATGAGTAGGTTGGATGAAACACAGATGGAAAGATGTGGGTGAATGGATAGGCAGATGGCCTAGTGGATTAGTGGATGAATGAATAGATGGATTGATAGATGGATGTGAAGATGGGTGGTTGGGTAGAGGGATGGATGTAAGGTTGGATATGTGGATGAACTGATGGATCAGTGGATGGATGGGTAGACAATTAGATGACTGGGTAGATGGACTGATGCATAAATGGGTGGTAGAATCATGGATGAATGGATGAGTAGATGGGTAGATGGGTGGATGAGGAGTAGATGAATGGGTTGGATTATGAATGAGAGGATGTGTTAGGGGATGAGTGGATGAATGGATGGTTGGTTGGTTGGTTGGGAGCATAGATAGATGAATGAGTGAGTGGAATAATGGGTAGACAGTGGATTAATGATGTATTGGTAAGCAAATGAATGTATGGGCATATGAATGAGTAGATGAATGAGTGGATGGGTGGCTATGAGGATGAATGGATGAGTATATGTGTAGATGGTTAATTGGGTAGACGAGTAGATGAATGAGTGGACTGATGGATAGATGAATGGATGGGTGAATTAGTAGACAGAGGATGGTATCTCTACTTCCTACAGGTCCTACAACATCCCAAACTTACTGCTTCAAACAAGGCACTTGTCATCTACAGCTATGGTGGTCAGAGCTCTGACCTGAGTCTCTAATTCATTGTCAGGAGTATGCTCCTCTCTGGAGGCTGTAGGGAAAAATCTGTTTCTCACTGAGCTTTTGGCTCCTGAACTTTTTCCCTTCATCTTCAAAGCCAGCAATGCAGAGTTTCTGGCTGCCATCATAACTCTCCTTTGTCCAGCCCTAACTGCCTCCCTGTTTGAATTTCAAGGACTCTATAACAAGGCTGTGTGGACAGTATATAACATCACTGTCTCTGGAGCAGCAGCCTCAAGCCAACCTGTAGCTTTGACTCCCCTATGCCAGGTGTTGTGACACACACAGGCATGGGTTTGGGGACCAGGAAAGGGATAGATGGCTGGGTGAGCCTCATTCTGTTTAGTAAGTGTTCCCTTTGATCTCCTCAGACACACATGGGTCTGTCATGCGAAGCATGTTCACCCATTTGAAGGTCTGAAGCGTCCCTCTTCTTACAGCATCAGTATGAGTTAAAAAAATAATAATAAAATTTTTCTGTCTACATTTCATCAGCTCAAAGCCCGCAAATCTTATTGAATAGGTATAATTATACACATGGGCCCGTGAAACCGGAGAGTGAGCTACCTGCTTCTGAACCACGATGCCAGCCCGACTGTAAGGTGATTATGAAGGGCACCCCAGCTGAAAATGGAGAATGAGAAGCAAAAACAGAAGCCCCATTGCCAGGTGACCTTGCCATCCAGCAGGAAGCACCCCTTGGTGCCGCGGGTGGGAATGGCTGCTTGTGGCCAGGGCTCTGCTCTGACTTCCTTCCCAACTCTGTAGAGCCTGGGTCCACACCCTTCTGCCATGCATCTCTCTGTCCCTGCTGTCCACACTGCTGTGTCTCAGGACCTCAGCGTCTGTCCTGTCAACATCATCAGGAGTTGTGGCACTGGACTCGCCATCCTCCATCAGCACAGACACATCTCTGGAAGCACTTTAGAGAACCCCCTGTGACACGCCTTGTGACCACATGATCTACGAAGTGAGGTGATTTGGCCTGTGACACCTGAACACTCTTCCTCACTCTAACATAGATAGCAACTCAGAAAAAAGTTCCATCAAAATCCAATAGGACCCAAGGAGGCCACATAACCTGGGGATGCTCAGACCAGGCGAAAACACCGTAAGACTCAAAGGCAGAGATCCTGGATATGCTGCTGGCTTCCTTGTGACCACAATAGTGACGATACTAGCCACATATAGGATTTTCACATCCAGCTGCCAAGCCAAGCCCTTCCCATCCACATCCCTAATCCCAGAGTAGGTGGCACTAGGGACAGGGAGTCTTGTTGGACTGGGCCCTGCCGTTTCCTAAGGAAAGCATCCCTGGATCCTTGTAGTTGCCCTAGAAGAGGACATTGTTGGCTTCAACAAAGTGCTTGTTGAAACCAAGCCCAGGGAGGTTAAGTAACCTTCCTAAGACAGCACAGCACAACAGACACATACCAGAGCCTAGATAGGAGTCCAGGTGATTCAGGACCAGAGCTGAGGCTGACACTTCCACCGCTAGGTGAAGTTAGAGAGGGTAAGCCCAGTGGGTGGCAGTGGATGCCGCCTTTGCAGCGGCTTCCTGCTCTCAGCTCACCACTTCCCCACCTCGCTGACTCCCGCCTTGCCTCATCTCAGTGCTGCGCCCACCTTTTCCAGGAGGCCCAGCCTGACTCCTACCTAGACTTGTCAAAAGGCCTTGCACTGTGGGCCACTGACAGCATGGCTTAAGGACGCTGTCAGGAGATCTTCGTGGGGGCAGCATGGGAGGAACCCTTGCCGGAACTGAGGATAAAACTCCAAGTATAGCAGGCAGTGTGTGTGTGTGTGTGTGTGTGTGTGTGTGTGTGTGTGTGTGTGTGTGTGTGTGTGTGAGACAGGTATCTGTGGAGAGGGTAGATAGCGCCTCCCCCTGTCAGACCTATTCATAGCACCCTCCCATCTATCACCGCTCCCCTTGGCCTGGGGCCACAGCCCTGCTTATGAGTGTCCCAGTGCCCAGATGTCGCCAGAGATATCCTGACTAGTGGAGGGCTGCTGGGCAGCCCTGCCCCTCTGCGGCCCCAGCTGGGAGGCAGCGCTGACAAATGGGCTCTCCTTGCAAACAAACGATTACATTCATCATTTGGCTGGGAATAATGGCTCCCCGCTGCTGCTGACAGCTAGAGATACATTGAGGCCCCCTCCACCTGGGAGGTCCCTTCTCAACCACAGGGACAAAGCCCATTGTCTGCCAAGGGCTACCCTCTGAACCAGACTCACTATCCAACAGAGGGGGCAGCAGGCCTCCTGTGGCTGTCCTGTGGCTAAATAATACTATCACCCCTGGGCCGTGGAATCTACAAGAGAAAAGAGATGATTGTGCAGGCCAGGCCCACGTCAGGTGCTGAAAGGACATTTTGTGGATTGGACCTGAGGACCAGGCCACTCTAAGCAGTGGAGAACACTGATGTGGATTCCAGAAGCTTGGATCAGTGTCTTGGCTTGGCACGATTGGGAACCCATGGAAACTTGTATGGGGCCAGACAAGGCCAGAACCCCTGCCTAGTCATCTCAGGTAAGTAGGGGGAGAGGCTGTGTCCCAGCAGGTCAGGCTGAACAGTGTGCTTGGAGGGGTGGGACTGGCTGGAGAGGTGGTATAGAAGTCACAGACTCCAGCTCTCGGGACAGGGAGAGGAAGGAGGAGTCATGGGCAGGAGGAGAGGAACAGAGAGCCTCTCCCAGCTCCAGCAAGGTTGGCTGCTTAGACCATACTAGCTGTGGCTGCCTTTGCATAGGGAAAGCTTTGCACCCTGAAAGACTGAGCCCACTTCTGCAAGATGTTACCCACCAGGAATTTACTTCTTGTTAGCAAATACTGTCCCAACGAACTTCCTTAGAAAACCAGCTTCCCTCTGTCTTAAGCCCGTCTGATTCAGCCTCTGTGGCACTAAAGCCTGAAACATCTGGTGCTTTGCAGGTATCTGTAACCCCTGGGCAAGGAAGAAGCAAGGGAAGGAGTCGGGGGAGGGGAGCATGAGCAGCTGCTCCCGCCCTGCCTGGTGCCTACCTCAAGGATGTCGATGACCACGTTCTCCTCAGCCTGCCTCGAGCTGCGCACATTCTCCAGAACCAGCGAGTAGCGCACTCCGCTCAGGTCTGACTGGTACAGGTTGTAGGTGTCCACCTGGTTCCACTCCTGGACGGCCACGAACACCTGCTGCTCATCCGTGCTGATGATCTGCAGGTCCTGGGGGCCGAAGAGCTGTCAGAGACCGTTGCCTGGAGTACAGGCACCTCTTCCGTCCTGCTAAGTCATGACTTCACCTCCCTGAACCTCAATGTCACACCTCTCAAATGGGAGTGATGTTTAGACCCCTGACACCAAGTTAGGGGGTAGCCTGGGGGTGCCTCCTTTTCCCCAAGTCCCTACAATTTTATCCATCTCCCTACGATGAGGATGGGCTCCCCTACTCCACGTGGTCAGAATGAGTGGCAGGTATAGATAGGGCTAGGCTCCTGGGAGCCAAGCGGCCCTTCGTTTGTCTAGCACAATTCACGAAACATCTGCCTTTTGGGCCTGCTGCCAACCTTACCTCTGCCCTGAAGCTCAGAAAGGGAGAAGCTGACTGAACAGTCAGGGCATGGTGCCCCACACAATGCTCTAGAGATGAGCTCCACTTGGTCACCTTTTTCTGTATCCAGCCCTCAGCACCATAGGACAAGAAATGCTAGAAGGAGGGCAGCCCAGAAAATGGCTCCAGGCCCCAGGAAATGAGCCAGGCAGCTCTGTGGGGCTCAGTACAGACCTTCAGAATCTGTTAACAGATACACACTTCAGGGAAAAAAGGCCCCGCCATGTGAAAGGCAAAGCTGGGCTGACCTCCATGTGAAAGGCAAAGCTGGGCTGACCTCCATGTGAAAGGCAAAGCTGGGCTGACCTCGGGTCCTTGTCTTCCCTGTTGCCCAGGCCCTGTGTGGACTGCCCAGAGAGGCTGCAACCAGGGCAACTGTGGCTGGGGAGGCTGTGTCTAGGGACCGAAACACCTCCACCTCAGCTGAACAGACTTCACTCTGAGTCCTCCATGCATGCTTTGCTTTCCACCCTCTGCAGCTCACCAGCCCCTGACACAGGCAAGGTGTGGGGTACGCTCACATGAAGACACTCCTCCTCCTCATCTTCATGCTCTGTTGGGTGTGCTTATTTTGGGGAAGTGATTTTTATTTGTGTCTCTTTGATGAGGGGCTCCTGGCCCTACCCCTCACTGACAGACTGGTCCCTATGCTATGTGTCCAAAAGGGCATTTCTGAGCTGGGCGTGGCAGTGCACCCAGGAGGCTGAGGTAGGAGAGTCATGAGTTTGAGGCTAGCTTGGACTATGTAGCAAGAGCCTCAAGAAATGCAGAGGTGGTGGAATTCTGCAGAAAAGAGGTTCAGTGTGTGAAGCACCTATCATGTACCTCCCAGCTGGAGGACCCCATAGGCACATGAGTCCTGTGTCTACAGACATACACTGGACACACAGAAAGGATGAACTAAGAGGTGTGTGACCCAGGAAGGAGTCCATTGGACCTGGTCCCATATGTGAGATGGACCAGCAGAGTAATGGGGGCCTGTGGGGTGCCCACCCCGAGTCTGTGAGCTGTGGGCAGGAGGCAGGATATGCGGCTTTTGGCTGCTGGCCATTCTGCTGCCCTCCAGGGAGGCCATGCCGATCAGCTAGGGCTATGGTGGATAAGCAGATTCACCAGAACCGGGTGGAAAGTGAGGGTCTTTCCCACAAGAAGGCTCGGCAGCACAGCGAGCCAGCACGCCATCACAGAGGAGTGCAGTAATTCAGGTGACAGTCCTGATCCAATGGCACTTTCATAAGCTGGTAAGATATCCTGGACAAATGCTTCCTATAAGCTATGAAGCAGCTTGGGGCCATCCACAGTGCCCCTCTAGAGAGACCTGGAATTAACACTTCAGCATGTTTATGTCCAGGCTCTCTCCCAAGCATGATTCACACACTCTCCACGTCTGGTTTATAGCTTGCTCTGCACACTGCGTGGGTGTCTCTTCCTCTGCCATGAACGTTATTTATAAACACCACTGTTAATGACTGCATGATACGCATTTGTGGCCCAGCCATATTTCACTGAGTCCTGTCCCTGCTCCAGAGGACCAGAGGGGACGTTTCCAGACTCAGGTCCCTCCCTGCCTCTCCGCTTGTTTCCTTTCCATAAATTCTCAGGAGGGAGATTGCCACAGCAGAGACAGGGAATGTTTCTAGAATGCTTGTGGCATGTTGTAAACCTGCTGCTGTGATGTTCACATTGGCTCCTTCCACAGCAGGCTGCTTATGTCCCTTCCCGTGGGCCAGCACTGAGAGGGGTCACACAAAAAGCCTTGATGACTAATGTGACAAATACTTCACACCTTCATAAAATCCCATTTACTTTCCTTACTCTCCATTTACAGAGAAGCAGAGAAGCAACTAAAAATATCCCTTAACTCCATTGTGAATAGATGCACAGAACTCTTCATCTATGTTGGCACATGTGGCCTGGAAAGATCTATAGAAGGAAAACTCGTTGGATAACATTTGTTATCAAGGGGATTAGGAGGCTTGAGGAAGATAGGTACTTGTCTCTCTTGCCTGGGAGAGAGACCCAGTGGTGAGCAGGCTAGTGTAGAAGCCCTACAAAGCCACCAGGGACAGGGGCTCTTCTGGATCATCATTCTATAGTCCCAAGACATGGTGCTTGTCTTCAGGGCCTGAGACTGGTGTTGGAGTTCCACCATAAAACTAAGGAAAGGGGAAGAGGGAGAGAAGGCTAGACTTCTACACAGTGTCCCCAGAAGTCACACAAGGAAACTTCATTAATACCTCATTGGCAGATAGTAAACATGTGGCCACATGTAGATACAGAGGAAGATGGGAGATGCAGCCTTTTCTCTGGGTAACCCAGATGCAGCTAGACTGTGAGATTGGCTAAATTAAAATAAAGGGCAAGATGGACGCTAAGACTTCTCCATATAATTATCTTGAAGTGAAGAGATGAAAAATGGAGGAAGGGATGGGCAAGCATATGGAAGTGATATGAGTGTGATTCACACCATTTGTATGTTTTTGCACAGGCTCATAAACAAATTAAAACATGTTATAATCATAAATTATAATATACTGTGCATATATGGAAAAGTTTTTAGAACCTTTTAATTAAGCATGATGGCAGAAATTTCTTATGGACCTTCATATGGAATCTCAGCAGAAATTTTCCATAGCTTTTTTTTTTTAAAAAAAAAAAAAAGTTTTTATGTGTCTGTGTGGGTATATGTCATTCAGAGAGCCAGAAGAGGAAGTCAGATCCCCCAGAGCTAGAGTTACAGGGGGTTGTGAGCTGCCAACACAGGTGCTGGAAATCTAACTCTGGTCTTCTGTAAAAAGCGAGTGCTGGTAACAGCACAGATTATTATATGAAATTCATGAGGCACTCGCATGAGCCGGCACCTGTTTTTCAAGACTGAGTTTCTCTGTGTAGTTTTGGAGACTGTCCTGGAACTAACGCTCTTGTAGACCAGGCTAGTCTTGAACTCACAGAGATCCACCTGTCTCTGCCTCCCAAGTGCTGGAATGAAAGGCGTGTGCCACCACTGCCCAGCTCCTCCTATTTTATTAGTACTTTGGCAACTCTGGCTCCCTGCCTTCTGGCTCTTCGGCTTCTGGTAGGAGATCTGCAGAGGGAATCCCTATCTGTGACAAGTCGCATCTCTCCTGCTGCTTCCTAGATGCCCTCTTCGTTATTCGAGCTTCATCAATTGATCATGATGCATCTTTGTCTTGGGACTGGCCAACCTTTGAAATATTCACATCTGTGTGTTTTATGATTCTGGAGGTAGTAAGTCACTCTTTCTTAATCAGTCTCTCTGCCCCTTGCTCCTGTGTCCTTTTAGGATTCTCACGGTGTATGTGCTGCTCTGATGGTGGTGTCGAAAGAGCCTTATACCTGCTTGCTTTCATTGTCTTCTCTTCAGGTTCCCCAATTCATTCTTTGCCTGACTAAATCTACTTTGGAGTCCTTCTGGAGGACTTCTTTGCTTATTACTTTTATTATTTCTTTCTAATTAAAATTCCAGGGTTTCTATTTGGGCATCCTTAACATTTCCTGTCTCTTCGTGGCCAATTCTTTTGTGCATAGTGCCCTACTGTTCTCTGAGCATCTTGAGACAATTCTATTACTTTATCCAGCAGGTCGACCAGCTGGCCTTTCTTAGGCATGATTTCAGTTCTGAGTGGATCGTGTTTTCCTGTGTGCCTTGTGATTTTTGATGACTGAAACTGGAAATCGTGTGTGTGTGTGTGTGTGTGTGTGTGTGTGTGTGTATGCAAGTGTTGGATTTTTTTTAAAGGTCTTACTTTTCAGTCCATGCCAGCCTCAAATTCATGATCTTCCTGATTTAGCCTCCAGATTGCTAGGATTATAGGGCATGTCCCATCATGCCCGTCAAAAACTATCCATTTGAATATATGATATACTAACTGCAGATCCAACTGTCTCTTTTCTGCAGAGACTGTTTTTGCCTCTGATCACCAAAGGTCCTACTGCACTGAGGCTCAGAGCAGCAAGTGTGGAGGGCCGTGGTGACTTTATGTCCCTCTCCTATACATTTAGATATACTGGTCCTTAATATTTGCCTCCAAAGAAGAAAAGAGGCAAAAAAGAGGGAGATGGATGGGCTCTGGACCTACCATGACTCTTGACATCAGGGCACAGGCCTCTCAGTGTCTGGAGGGAAAGGCCCATAGTGTCCACCCTGGCCATGCAGCCTACTTGATAGCTGCTCCAGGAAAGCACATGTTTGCCTGCTGTGAGGCAAGGGAAGACATGGATAATGTTCCTAGGTCAAAAGCTTAAATTGTCAAAACTGACTTTGCTATATCGTCTGATGCCTGGAGGCTAGAGACATTATAATAGACCACAGAGGCCCAGAATAATCATGAGCCTACACTCTGCTGTGTGGCTGTTGCCAAGGGGGAGGGTGGAGAAGGTCCTGGAGCTTGCACTGGGCCATCCTTCCCAGCATCACTCTCTCCTCTATTATGTGTAATATGCATTTTAGTTTACTTTAAATAAAGTCATTACAAATACAGGACGATTTTTTCTTTCAAGTAAATTTGCATTCACCTTACTCCCCTGAATGCTTTTTATGTAATTTGTGGTTCTATAGATGCTTCTCGTGAGCATTTTTCTCTGCTAGGGAGCTTCAGGGCTTTTAAAACAGGCATTACAAATCAACACTTCTAAACGAGGATGCTGACTCGTCCCAACAGCTGTTCAGGAGTTCAGGAGTGGGTGGATCAGAATGGCAGAATAGCATTGTTTACCCCCTTAGACATAGAACAGGGGAGTCAAGGTACAACACAGAACCAAGCCACACTGTGCTGACTGTGATCTAACTCTGTGGGATGGGATTCTGCTAGGAACCCACTAAGATGCTGAGGGTCTGTGTGCTCAGTCCATTCCTGAAACTATTACCAGTGAATCCCCACAGTGTAGGGGTGCACTTCAGGGGCACCCACATGTCTGGACTAGAGACTGGCTGTGGCTGAGTAGACTCCTCTCAGCTCATAGCCCTGCAGCCAGTCACTTATTGTGGGGATCATGTATCCACCTAGAAAAACCCACCAGACACACTGTCATGCTAAGCAGGATGCTGGGGAGCCCTGCTCCTGAGCCAGCCATACCAGTCACTTTGTCACGTGATCAGGGGGACCAGGACAGGGAGGGAATGGGAGAAGGTTCTCAAGCAAGTGGCCCCCTTATGCTGTGCCAGACACTCATTTTCTTGACATTATTCAGGTAACTTAGGAAAAAAAAAATGAAGGCATGGCTTGGAAAAGAGGGAATGAGTTACAAATCCATGGTAAAACAAAACCTGATTAGAAAATCCAGTTAGTGGGCCTGTGGATTGCTGATGAGATGCTCTTCTGTACTCTGCTGAGCTGGGAGAGCAGGAGGGAGGAGGTCACAGGCCTCTGCTAGAGGGCTCAGGTGCTGGGAGGTCACAGAGATTGTGCTCAAGGTCATAGGAACCATGACTTCTAGCCATAGGCTCCTTGTTAGAGCCCTGCGGTGTGCTGGCTTCTCCACACCAGGACCAGGGCTCACATTCCTAGAGTTGTGCTGTGACTCCCAGCAAGCCCAGCGAAGCCCCTCACCACCAGGACAACTGCCTTTGCTGAAATGGAAGTTAGTTCTGGATTCACTTACTCAACCAGGCCTGCAGCTAATTTAGGGAGCTCGTGACTTTCCCTCCCATCTTCTCTGGTTTTGAAAAGATGGTCAAGAAAGGCCTAATAGACTTTTCACTTTGGTTCAGAAGAGTCTGAGGTGCCTAAGTTCGTAGCTCTCAAAATGAGGGCATGGAGATATACAGCCTCTGGCCCTGGAGGCCCCGGTCGTCCCTCCACTCCACACCAACCTTGGCTGAGCTTTCTGCCCCTTGCAATACTCTGCCTTCTTCCCTAACCACTTTTTCTTGCTCCTCCCAAAGCTTGATTCCCAAGCTTCTTGTCCAGATTCCATGTGCCCAGGGGGCAGAGCTGGCTCACCTGAGGCCAAGTAGGCTGGAACAGTGGATGGGCAGGCAGAGGCTGAGGAAGCGTGGCCACACCCATTCTTAGTTTCTGTCCCTCTTGACCTTGGGACCCCAAACCCCAGTGTATAAGGCCTCACAGTCTTTACATCTGGCACAGGGCCACCTCACCTTTGGCAGGGCATACTTGGGCAGCTTCATCAAGACAAATTCACTGCGGCGATAGGAGACATAGTATTTGGTTCGGTTTGTTGCTTTCGCCTAGGGGAGAAACACAGCGTCAAGTGACGGAATCTCCAGTTAAAGCCCACTCTCAGTTTGAAAGCGGGCCACTCAGGCAGTGGCCATGGCAGTGTGGTTCCTCTTCCGCAATGATGCCAAGACCTCACTAGATGACTCATCTGTGAAGGGGGGAGGGGGGACTCGGCAGTCTGGAGGTATCCAGGCCTCTGTAGTGCTGCTATGACCTGGACACACAGAGGTCCTTGGAGAAAGCATCCCTGTGGTGGGAAAGCCTGACACCCTTCCCCCACAGCAGCAATTACCCACTGAGGTGGGGAGACAGCCTCTGGGACTGCTCCAGGGGGTTCTCTGAGAGCACCACCCCATTCCAAAGAAACTGAGCTCAGAAAGCCTGGTGCTACCCTCAGCAGGCCCCCAGCCTTTCTGGGAGCTGGAATTTGAAGCTGAATGCTGAACTCCAGCTCCACACCAGACAGTCGCATACACAGAAACCTGTACACACTGGGACTCACTGAGACAGAAGACCTCCAACAGGGGAGGGATGCTATCTGTGCCTGCCAAAGGGCCCCAAAGAAGCTGGTGGGCCCATTTCCAGAGCCTCTCTGCTAGATGAGCTCAGGGCCGGAGGCAGCCTCTTCTCATACCCTGGGGAGGCCCGTGGGGTGTGTTGGTGGAGGATTAGTGTTCAAGAGCATGGCCATCCCCATTCCTGTCAGGAACTGATTGTGAAGGCAGCAGGGCCTTCCATGAGGCATCGTGGGAAAGAGAACCTCATCTTCAAGGTCCTTCCAACCTGCAGGTGCTGGGGGGCAGGGCAATACACAGAGGTTTTGCAAGACTTCCCTTTGCCTGGTGAGTGGATTAGAGACAGGCACAGCACACTGCACTGTCCCGAACAGAAAACCGGCCCCTTTCAAGCCATTCATTCCTCCCAGAGTGACCCCACACGCGGTGGGGAGCCGCTAACAGGCTAGAGCTGGTGGGAAGGCTGGGGTCACAGTGTCACCTGTGGGTCCAGCACGGCTGCTTGCCTACGTGAGTGCTATGGTGTCATCAGCCCACGACACGGAGCAGCAAGCAGAGGCTCAGATGTGGTCTGAAGGCTCATTTGAAGCAAGCAGTGGCAACTTTGCACCTGACACCAGCATGGTCTGATAAGAGCCCTCCATAGCCAGCCCCCTCTGCCATCTTCCATCACCTTCTCAAGGCACAGCTTCAGAATAGTGCAACCAACAGCATCCCAGCCCAGCTCAGCTCAGCCTTAGTTCTGTGACCTTTGCTGCTCCAGGCAAATCCAGAAAGAGCTGCCAGACCTAGGTGTGTCCTCCCATGCACCTCCCCCACACTTTCCCTATGCGGTAACCTTGCGTTTACTCTACCCAGACTGGCGAGGCTCTAGGTATGCCTCAAGCATGACTTGACAGAGAGGTTCTGTAGTCCTTCTGATTCCCAAGCTAGCACCGTCCTGCCAGACCACACCAAAGATGTGACTGTGGGACAAAAGATATGCCAGATGCCCGCCGTCCCTGTTGGAAGGAGATGGTGTGTCACCTGGTCTGATGTGAGCCAGGCAGGGAGAAACAGTGGAGCTCCACCTGACCATCTCATCCCAGCAGGACAATGCCCAGAGAAGAGGGTGGGCTGCTGTCTGTTCCTAGGTGTGATACTTGACAGGGCTACTCTATTTTCTGGGGTTTGGTTTTCTCTCCAGCAATAGCAACCGCCGCAGAGCCGGAGTGAGAACCAGTGGCTGCCAAAAGGAACTTGTACAGGGACCCTTAGGTACAAATGCAGAGCTTGGGGGACTTGGTGGACATGGCCACTGGTGATACAGCTAGGACCAGTGGGGTCCAGGGCCTCCTTCAAGCTGGGAGAGGATGGTCCATGCCGAGGGAGTGTCATGGAGACTGGGCAAGGGAGAAGTATGGGAACCTGGAGGACCCCCAGGTGACAGGACACTGGGCTGGAGTTTTCTTGCAAGAAGCTCTGGGCTTGTCTCACAGATTCCAGGCCGCAGAAGAGGGGCTGGCAGTAGGATCCAAGGAAACAGGCCTGTCTCCGTAGATGAACTTGCAGATGGTGACCATCAGTCTCTGTTGTCAACTTGATGGGATTTAGAGTCACCATGGAAACCAACCCCTGGGCTTGGCTGTAAAAGGTTATCTGGGCTGATTGAGGTGGGAAAGCTACCAGCATCATTCTGTGGGCTGGAGTCAGGACTGTACAAAGAGGAGAAGGTGAGCTACTACCAGCACTCACTCTCGGCTCTCTGACTGTGTGTAACCGAACAGCTGCCTCATGCTCCTGCCGTCATACCTTCCCTGTCAGATGGACTGTCTCCCCGGAACTGTAAAGCAGAAGAAGCCCTTCATCCTTAGGGTGCTCTTGTCAGGCACTTGGTTGCAGCATAAGAAAAATAAACAAGACAACCTGGGTCTGCGCTGTACGAGGCCAGGCTTCCCACTCCAGAGGGGTCAAGGAGCTCCCCTGATAGCATTCACTTGCATTTCCCAGTTGGCCTGAGATATGTATTGGGGGGCACTGCGGTGGCATCTTGGTCACAGGGGCACAGAGTACCCAGGATAAGACGCAAAGCACGAAGGCACCAAGTGAAATATGTATACTTGAATTTGTGGGGAGAGTCCTGGTGTGCAGAGGGAGGAGTCAGGAAGGATCTTGAGCCCAGGTTCTGGTGCCTGGGGACCACAGTGTGGCACAAAGATGCTGAGCCCTGCTGATGGGAGATGTCATTCTGTAAATATGTTTCTCATGCTGGTTAATGACTAAAGCACTGTTGGCCAATAGGAAGGCAAGATAGGCGGAACTAGGAGACAAGGAGGAAAGAGGAAGTAGTAAGGAGGAGTCAACATGGAGAGACTGGAGAGACCAGACGCAGGCCCCATTCCCCGGTAAGATGAAAGCATGTGGAAATACGTAGATTAACAGAAATGGGTTAATACTTAAGACAGAGCTAGCCGATAAGAAACAAGTACCTGGCCAACAGCATTATATCTAATACAGAGTCTCAGTGTGTTAATTGGGGCTGGCGCGGCAGCGGGACAAGACTGGCGGCGGGAGGAAAATCCTTACTCCTTACACCCTGCTAACTGGCATTTGAAAGCTGAAGCGCTGTTTTATTGCCTCTTCTGATGGAAAAGGCTCATGCAGGGTCCCCTCACTCACCTTCAGAAAGATGTACTCATCCTGCACAGTCAGGGAGCCACGGTCAATAGGGCTGGCGAAGGGTGCTGTGAGGGGCTGAGCTGAGCAGTTGTGGATCAGGCAGGTGAAGTACCGACAGCCTGCAGGAGACAAGAGCAGCCAGACATGCAGACCCCACTGAGAGCCGTGGGTGGAGAGTCGGAGCAGCGTGGACTCCTGGGCTCACCACTTTGTAACACCAGCACCTTGGCTTGGCCTAGAGCATCTCTTTTCAAAGGGCCTCGTTTCCTATGATGCTTGCCAGCCCAGTGGGGCCAGGGACCACTCAAGATCTCTTTAGCTCCTAGGGAGGGTCGGCTGGCATGTCAGAGAGTCATTATCCACAGGAAGGGACAACCAGACAGTTCAGGGACCTCTCTAGGCCACCTTCTCACAGACCCAGGCACCTGGCTGGACAGAAGTTTGTGTCTCTAGGCACTCTCTCCCCTTAACTTGAAGCCAAAGCTCCCATCTGTCCTCACAAAGCTCCAGGACAGCAAACTGAACTTAGGTTCTGTGAGGAAGCTGCTGCTGTCTCCAACCTGAGAGGCCAGGGAACAGCCACACCGAGGAGGTAACACTTGTGCAAGCCCAGGATTGTTCACTCACTGCTCAGTTATTTTCTCAGTCATCCACTCACTCGCTCACACATTCATTCACTCATCCATTCATTCACACACTCATCCACTCATTTACTCATCCACTCACTCACACTCACTCTTCACTTTCTCATCCAGTAACTCATTCGTTAACTCACTTTCTCATGCATTCACTCACCCACTCTCATCCACTCTCTCATTCATTCATTCATTCACTCACTCACTCACTCTCATCAACTCATTCACTCACTCACTGCTTCACTCATTCATTCACTGGCTCATTTATTCACTCACCCACTCTCACTATCATTCATGCACTCATTCATGAGGAAACTGCCTGGAGGAAGGTCCTAAGCAGTGTGTGACTGTCATGGGGGACTTGGCTCTTGGGAGCCGTGAGAACCGCTATTCTGGAGAGAGGCAGACAAATAGATGAGGGCCACTACAGTGTGCTGAGGGCAGAGAGCATCTTTCTGTCTGTCACATAGGCAGAATGCCCACAGCGGTGTACTCGGCATATCTGGCTTCATTTAACAGTTCTGCTGGAGACGCTGAGGAGAGCCTGTCAGCACCCAGCCTCAAGGAGCTCCCAGGCCAGGGGAATGCAGGGGAAAGCTGGGTGCTGCAGAGTTTTGAGGAATGACTGTGGAAGGGTGGCCTGGGCATGTGAAGGAAAATAACCCATGATGGATAAGGAGGACAGGCAGTCTCAGCCAGGTGACAGGAGTGTGGTGAGCTTGGAGCAGGGTCCTCTGGAAGGCCCAGCTGGCTGGAGGATGATGGAGACAACGGGTTAGGTGGTGGGACCTCAGGACGTTGAATGGTCTATGGCTAGGCTCTGAAGACTGCTCCAGCAGGGCTCTAGGCTGGTGAGTGTAAGGTCTTCAGGGGCTGGGGACGGTCCCACTCATGAGCTGAGTTGGACCAGGGGTTCTTGATGCAAAGTTCAGGCTACTGCACACAGGCTCTGCTTCCTCTAGGATGGAGGCTCTGTGAAAGACCCAGACCTCAGCTCATTTTCCCCCCTGGGACACGGCACACCTTGCCAGGCCTGCTACCACATGGAACCTGCTGGGAGTCACCTCTTTATATTCCCTTTGAGGTCTTAGGGCTAAGACCTGGCAACCCAATGGCCCCTGCTTACCAAAACAGTAGCTGCAAAACATTTGGTCCCACCCTTTGAGGTATGGAGCCCTGGCTGATATCTTGGAAATGGCATAAGTCATCATCTGGCAGCAGCTGCTTACACAGAAACTACATATGCATCAACATACTTCCTTTCCCCATGTCCTGCTTTACAGGTAGGAGAACCAAATTTACCACCCAGGACCCCCAGGACTTCATCTGGCTAGTGCCTGTGAACTGCCCAGGACTGCCAGGAAGGACAATGACCTCTGTCACCTTCACAACACAATAGCATGCATATACAAGTGAGTGGATTGCTCAGTGTGAAGGCTGCAAATGACAGGAAGATTTTGGCTGTGGCAATCCAGCCCTGACTGTGGGAGGGGAGTATCAGAGACACTGGGCTGTCTCAGCCCTCAGCCAGGCTGGGTGGGGCCATGCCGTAGTAAACACTCAATGCTCAGGAGCTGGAGCAAATTGCCCTTTTAATAGACTTTCCACAGAGCAGGGCTCCTCCACTTCAATTCATCCCCAGCAGGAAAGAAGCGCGCTTCTAATTATGACACATCAGACAACTAGCGAGGTTGGTCCACATGGCTGGCCACTGAGGATGCACCAGTGAACAGGGCTAGGCTGAGCAGCGCTGCTGGACAGGGATGCTCAGGGACACCTGTGAGTGCCCATCTCTCACTTACCTCCACTGAGGTCCCGTGCTTCCATGTGGACCAGGTTGGGGTCGGCGTCCACCCCAGACACAGCCCTGAAAAAGAATTGGCTGAGATTAGCATCAGCAAAGGGGTGGCTAAACCCTTCCCTTGGGCTCCCACTGGCCACACCGTCCCTCTGGGCCTGAGACAGCTCCTGTTCTCTGGGTTCAGAAGACCCAGCCCTCCCCACTAAACCTACAAGCTCCAACGGGAATCCGGATGAAGCTGGATAAAGCTTGGTAAAGCTGGCACCTGCTTGTTCATAGGATTGTTTATAATATTCACCTCTTCCCCCAGGGTCTCCCACCCCAGCTGAGGTACAGGGTGGGACCTCAGGCCTAGATCTGCACAGAGGGGAAACCCAGAGATATATAGAGGATGCCCATGGTCATAAAGCCCTAACAGGTTCACTGGGATTCCAACTAGGATCCGGATCTGAGTGGCTACCTTCTGCTGGGGGAAACCCTTCCGTTTGTTCCAACTGCTCTGTGTTTTGCCAGAGGCTCTGTGAGAACAGTGTTCTTCCATTTCACCCTTGCCAGCCTACACCAGAGTCCCCTCAGCCATGGCTGAGTCTTGCATCTCACAGGTCAGGGATTGTGTGACTTACCTGCCCAAGGACGCAGGTTGGGCTGAGCTTCCCATCAGGTCTGCCTAGCCCAGAAGTCACCCCCCTCTCAGAGCTCATATGCCTGTGTCAAGCCTGAGGAAGGCAGCCACGGGACATCCAGAGAAGTCCCACAGCACCTCCAGTAGCCAGGGGGGCCCACTCTGCCAGCACCATCCCAGGCTTTGGGGGTAGACATCAATAAGTCATAAGTACTAAGGAGTCAGGAAGCTCAGGCTGGGACCTGTCCCGGGAAAGTACATCCCTTCTTCCAAATCTCCAGATGTGCTCATTTATATGGGAAAAGCAGAGAAAAGAGATAAGGAAGGAGAAGAGGGGAGGGGGAAGCATATGAACACGGGCAGGGGTTCTCTTCCTGGTGCAGAGGCACAGAGACCAGGTAATAGCGGTATACACTGGCAGGGCCTCAGAGCAGGGGACATTCTAGGCGCTCTGGCAGCCATTTAAATGCTCACTCACCGACTTGTGCACCCAGGCATTCATTTGCCTCATTCCCCCATTCATTTACTTACCATTGTACTCGCTCACTCATCACTCACTCTTTCTCTCTCTCTCACTCACTCGCTCACTCACTCACTCGCTCGCTCACTCATATCAAGGCATTGGCCAGTATCTGCCTTTGTGGTTTTTACTCCAAGGCTGTTGACCACTCAGGGAGGCCACAGTTCCATAACAGGCACCCTGCAGCACACACACCCCTCTGGAGCTCCCTAGGGAGCCTGTGTGCTGTGTGGCTTCAGCACTGCTAATGAGTCAGGCCTGAGATAGAGCAGAGGTTCTGGTGCGTTCCGCTGCCAATCCAAGGACAAGAATGTCAAATCAGCTTTATCTGTTGTGTCCCTTGTCTCTCGCCACATTCCAGAAGGGATCCAACCAGCTACACTGCCACGCATCCTATGACTCTCCCACATAACAGGCACAGCCCTCAGCCACAGGAAAAGCTTGTGGGCAGAGCCGGTCTGACTTGTCCAAGATAACAGGAGCACCCCAGGTCTGGTTTCTCTAGCCAGCCGGAAAGTCTCCATGAGGCAGGCTGGGATACTCCTTAGCCTGGCTTGGGACAGGTAGTGATGTACTGCCTCCCTGACGTCTTCATGTCTATGGAGCTCAGAAGTCACACTTCCTGACCTCAGTCCCCACCTCCTGGGAGTGACTCCATGGACAGTTTCTGCTCTGGACAGGGGACATCCTTGTTGGGCCTGCGACTAACAGCAGCCCTCTGGTTTCAGGGAGGGTACTCCAGTGGGCTGCTGTGGAGAGGCAATCATCACTTCTTCCCAGGAGCAGAGGGCACAGATGCCAGGGTTCAGTGTTCAGAACCAACTTCCAGGACATGGGAACTGGACCCTTGTGAGTCACGAGAGGGTGGGAGGGACTGTTTTCACCATGCATCCCCATTGGAGACAGGACTGAGTCCTGGCTGGGGGACCAGTGTGAAGTTTTATACCCATTTGCACTAAGACAGGAAGGACATGAAAGCACATGTATGTGTGTGCCTGTGTGTATGAAAGAGAAAGCCTGTGTGGGTAGATGCGTGTCTGGCAAGGGACCCGTGGCACAGCCGGCTTGGTGCTGTGTGGGCTCTGAGCCAGCTGCCATAGTTTCCTGTTCCCTCTTTACTGCCTAAGACCCTAAGCAGGTGCCTGCCCTCTCTGGTCTTGCTTGAACAGTCAGCATATGCTTCCTGAACTTCAGAACTGCCTGACTTGGGTGGTGGGGCTGGAATGCTCCCAGAAGGGCTCCCAGAAGGTCATGAAAATGGGGAGCCAGCACCCCCTGGCCTTTGTCAGGGACCTGAGTCCCATTCCACCTCTATTCACGGTCTCCCCTGCTTCAGCCCTCAGAGGCTGCTGGCCTTGTTTCCTAGCAGGACAGAACGCTGTGATCTCATGGGCCAGAGGAGTAAATCCCAGGGTGGTGGTGGGACAGGGAAGAGAGCCTAGGCAGACAGGGTCGGGGCAGCCCTGGAGCATGATATGTTGATACAGGGCACTTCTCAGGAGCAGGTGGGGGTGAACTGGTGAGGAGTTGGGAGGAGGGTAGCCAAGAGCGTTGAGCCACCCCGAGCTGTACTGTGCCAGGTCCCCGTGTTTCACCTCTCCCAAATAGGTGGATATAGAGGACAAGGCCCGAGGGATGCTGAGCCCTAGACACCCCAGGAGCACACCGAGGACCCTAGAGTTCCCCGGGGTGAGGGGGAGGAGGCAAAGCCTGCGGTAAGATAAACGTTCCCATGGAAAGGGATCTCACCAGAACACGTGGTCCTTGGTCACCTGTTCCTGCAGAAGTGTCCACTTCTTCCCCAGGTCGGATGACACATACAGCTGCAGAGCAGACAAAAGAGAGACAGAGCTTTGGCGGGGAGGTCCGAGTGACAGTGATCTGCTACAAGGCTTCCCAGGGCTTCCCTTATTTCAACCCCTCTGTGGGACACTTCTGCACGGGTCCTGGTGACCTCATTGCACAAGGAATGCTGCTGTATGCAGGCAGCCGAGGAAGAGGCTATTGGTTGAGGCTGACAGCAATGTGGGCGATGACTTCACCTCCCAGGCTGTGTCAGGGAGAAGTTTTGAGTAGAGTGGCCTTGGCTTCTTGCTGGCCCAGGTCTTCTGACTTTTATGATGGGGCCAGGGAGGTGTGAAGGACCTGGTAGAGGCAGACTGGCTTCCTGTCTCTAGTCAGTCTTACTCACAGCTGACCAGCCTTGGTGCCCAGCTGTAGACGATAACACAGGCATGACAGATACAGTGAACCCGAACACACATCTCCCTCATCCTCCTATGTCTCTGAAATCTCATGTCTTCCCTGAATGGTTTTCATGCCAACCCTTCACATACTGAGAGAGTAGGCATGGATGTGGCCAGTGTGTTAGCCCTTTCACTCGTATTATTCCGTGGGTTTATGGGTGTCTCCTCCATCCCTGGGTTGCTGTGCCGACTGTGCGCGTCCTCTGTTCCTGGAGACACGTGGTCCCACATGATTCCGCAGGTTGAAGTCCGTCTTCATCTGAAGTAGGTCTAGAACTGTGTGATGCTCTCTGTTACGTGCAGCTGCCTAGGGAGGACGGATGGGAAGGGAATCCCCATCTGTGGCTCTGCCTCTGCTCTCTGTGCCTGTATGGCACTTGGTTTCCTCACCCACCAAGCATCATCCTTGGCAGTGCCACTCTGAAGGGAGAGCAGTGATTCCAGTATGTGTGGCTTCTGTCAGAGCCCTTCATTCACAGCTGCAGGGCTGTGCCGTTGCTCCAGGCTCTTTTATGCTTCAGTTTCTCACTTTCAAAACCAGGACTCCACACGCCTGCCTTGAAGGGGTGCGGTGGGGCATCTCAATCCCCTGACAAAGTGGCAGCATCCGGGCATGTGCGGTGGGAGCCCCTCAGCTCTGAACAGTGCAGTGGGAGTCGGCCCTGAGTTTGTAGCCCCCAGCTTCAGGCTCACTCCCTTCCACTCCATTTCCCATCTCCGTGTACTCTTGGTTGCCCGGGGCACTCACCCGCCTGGCTCACCTTCAGCAACACTGCTGAATGGATCCTTGTCTGCCAGGTACGCCAGTGAGTTTTCTGAATGAGTGAGCACGCTTGGCCGTGGGGCAAGGGCTAGCTAGAAAGGGCAGGAGATGAAGTGTTTCTGGCTTGGTCTCCACGGGAGCACTCACCTCTGCCTTCTGAGCAGAAACTGGGAGAGTTGAGACTGTGGGCTAGACACATAAGCACGGCCAGATGCCAAAAAGCTTAACAGTAGCTGGACGTTATTCTTGGACACCTGTTCTGGGTCACATGCTAAGAAAGCATCACCTTCCATTTGTAAAGGGCTTTAAAAGGGGACGTTTACCTACTTAGGAATGACTGCAGGCCAGGCAAAGTACTCCTGTGCTCTGTGAAGTCCCTGGATCTGGGGCTGGCATGACCTAAGGCTCAACAACTACCAAGGCACATGGCTCAGTGTGGCTGTGATCTACATCAAACACTTATCTCACTGAAAGCCCACACAGACACACACTCGTGCCCCTCCACACTCATGCCCACACAGACACACACACTCATGCAATACAACTCACCAACACAATCGTCAGATTAACATATTTCTGTCTTTACAGGATGAGAGAACTAAGTGCATCGATCAAGGTGATACAGCACTTACACATAGCAGCAATTCCCATCTCATAGACCCGTTCACAGTCCTATGTCAGTGGTGACGCAGTGTCTCTGGGTCATCTGAATGACTGGGGCCAGCCCCTTTCCATCTCATGACTCAGTTTACCCATCTGCAAATTAGTAGAGCATTGCTCTCACCCACAGCCAGTCAGTTAAGAAGACAAGCATTGACAGGCCTGGTGACAAAGTTTCCACACAAACGAGTGGTGTTATCATTGCTATCACCGCCAAACGTGCTAGTGTTTATGGTGCCCATCCCAGAGTTTTATGGAGCCTTTTCAGTTCATTCTCATGGGGGGCAGTGATTTTACTATCTGCCATCAATTGCTGCAGAAATAGAACACTTCTGCTTAATAAAAGATAAATGTCGAAAATAAACGATAACAAATATCAGAGGGATGCTCTAGTTCCTAGAGTTAAAATCTGCATTGAGGTATCCTGTAGCAGAATCAGCTCCAGAGGGTGTATCTCAGGAGAGTGGTGGAATGTGCTTTAGGGCATTGCTGCCCTGAGAAAGTGCAGCCAAGGCAAGGAGGAGATGACATAGGGAAGGTGCAGGTTAGGAGTGCACATCAGTGGCCTTCCTATGAGGCCAGAGGGGCAGAAGCTCTGCCCTGGGCTGTGACGGCATGCTTAGCTTTCATCCTCCCTTACTCAGAATGCCTTATTGTCTTCATAGGTAGGGACACTAATGCTGACATTGCGCTGACTCTCTTGCAGCTAGACTGCTGGGTCATAGGCAGAATGAATTCACAGGGTTAGGAAAGCCAAAGCAAAATGAGGCATTTTCCTTCCTTGGAATACTTCTAGTGTCTAGCATGTCCCAGAGGGCATGCTCAGCTCTGGGGTGCAGAGGCAAATGTCCACTCTGCTTTTACATATCTGTTGGGGATATAAACTCAGGCTTTCATGTTTGTGCAGAAAGCACTTTGCAGACTGAGCCATTTCCCCAGACCCAGAGGAGGTTCTTGACTGGAAGGGAAATAAAAGCAAGGAAAAACAAAGCAAAATAAACAATGTGAATCTGATCTTGTCTTATAAGTAAGTAACCCCAGCTCTGCCAGAAATCAGGCCCACAGTTCACACCCAAGGTGTGGGTGATGAAACAGTAGACCCCAGAGAGCTGGATAGGAAGGACCTCCTGGTCCCAGGAGCCTTGCGAGATTGCCAAGACTTGGAAGGAATATATACTGGGTGTCACTCAGAAAACCTGGCCAGACTGCAGTAAGGTACCTCAGATTGTGTCCAAATCATGACGTAGTGAGGAAGGAACAGAGGGAGGCAAGATACCCCAAGTGAGGTAGAACCTTTGTCAGAGCAAGGACAGACACCTGGGAAGTGGAAGGAGATAGGACAAGAGAAGATGGAGAGGGAGAGATGGGGGAGTGGCAGAGCAGGAGTAAAGAGCTTAATTCTGTTCATATGGTATTTGTGTCTGCCCTGGTGGCTCAGGACTTAGTCTATGACTGTGCCTGGTAAAGAAGAAGCTAGTAAAGTTTCTGTGTTTTGTTCTACCCATGTAGTGAGAGCAGCATGATCCCCAGATGAGAGCCTGCACGCTAGTAGCCAGGAACCACATCCAGTGGATTCCAGCAAAACCTGCAGAGTCCCAGCTACCTGAAGACCCAGGACCAATTCCCAGTGTACTGCTCTGAGCCAAGGAGCTTTGCGATGCCTCTTCTTAGCACAGCGTCCAGATGCCTGGCTCACAGTCAGTTTGTAGAGTCAGAGTTGGCATGATTCCATTATACATCCAGCTTCTTGGGCATCTAAAGGCATTGACAGACCACCAAGCCCCCCCCCCAAACTCAAGATGGTCATCACTGACTAATTTCCCCAAATCCCTCATTCCTTTTATAACAGCAATTAAACCTTTTTCCTCTCCTTTCTTTCCTTGTCATCACAGAAAAGAGCCAGGGAAAATAACCAAGGTTTCAGCTCCATTAATTTTTCAGGGCACCATAAATTAAAGAGCAATTGCAACACAGTCAATTTCTTCAGGAAAATAACTCGCTGTAGCCGTGCTTTGGTCTAATTACATGGAAGGCTAAGTAGCACTATTAATACCCAGAAGGGTGTGCAGCCCTGAGGGAAAGGGATAGCAACAGACAGGCACCCACAGGCCAGGGACACTACACAATATGTGTTAGACCTTGCAAAGGAGGCTGGGCTCTGGGGGTAAGCTGGGCTTGGCCATCACCACTCTCTACTTGGGGCTCTCTTTCCTGGCTGATCCCTGTTAGTAGGAACTGTCATTGATCCATATGTCCATTCATCTAACCAACTGCTCTCCATCCATCCATCCATCATCCATCCATCCATACCACCCACCCACCCATCCACCCATCTGTCCATCCACTACCTATCCATCCATCCATCCATCCATCCTTTCCTATGTCCACTCTAATATATCCAATCATCCAACTTTCCACCTATCCATCAACTCATCCATCCATTTCTTATATTCATTTATAATCTATCTAGCCAGCATACATTCTCAGAAAACACTTGAGATAAAAACTGTGAACTATAAATCAAGCATGGCTACCTTCCCAGAGTTTAGCTCTAGTGTGTATGGACTGGAGACTATGATCAAATACTATCAGAAACACAAAACTGTATGTTAGCACCAAGAAAGAGGCACAGGACCCTGGAAGAAGGTGGGCCCATGCTGTTGCCCTTCAGTTACATATGTTCATTCTCCTAACCAACTTATCCATCCATCCATGGATCCATGCTGGCCCTCCACCTGTCCCTGTCCCAGGGGCTGATGAATAGCAGTTTCTACTGGCAGCTGCTCTGGCCTCTGGCTGGGGAGAGCCCAAAGGAACAGGAGCAGAGTCTGGCTAGCAGGAGGGGAGGGGCTGTGGCTCTTCTTCTTGCTCCTCTTCCTGATAGCTACGTATGGCAGGCTCTGCACAGCTATCACCAGGGCCAGACTCCATTCCTGGGACCTTTGCTTTGCCTGCTGTGTGGTATGGTGGCAGGCAATCCTTCCACTCCAAGATGGTATAGTCTGATCCTTAAACTAGGGACCATGCCCTCATGTGGCTCCAAACAGCTTTACAGAGGTGCTTTTTAGAAAATGGGGTTTGCCTCGTGGACCTGAGGTGGAGTTGTCTCTGTCTTCATGGAAGACAGGGACTGTGGGAAGGTTCAGATATGTACTCATGGGCATGGGTACACCAGCATGTCCATGTACACATGCAGGGGGCATTCTAAAAATGGGCAGAGACTTAACCAGGCTGGCCTAGAAGACACAGCAATGCTACCTTAACCCAAAGCACACAGTGACCGCCAGGACTAGGAAGGGAGGGGCAGCTGTCCCCGGAGTCTCAGGGACACTCAACTTCAGCCCAAGGACACTAATTTTACACAGGCCTCTAGGTCTGTGACAAAACACAGTTGTGTCATTTAAGTTCCCAAATCTGTGGTCACTGGCCACCATGGCTTCAGGAAAGCATCCAGTGCCCTCCCCTTGAGCATCTACTAGCCTAAAGCAGAGGAGGCCTGGGATTATCTAGGATCTCCTGACCCAGCTAACAGGCCTCTGGGTGCCAAGGGCTACTCACTGCCACCTCTACCTGCTGTGCACACTCCATTGGTGTGAGATTCCCCATGGTGATAGATGGCCACATGCATTTGTCAACAAGAGCAATGCTGAGGTTTGTGCCTCCCAGCTCGAGCAAGGCTCTGCCTCACCAGCTGGGGGTGCAGAGACCCCTGATAAGAAAGCTGCTTCTGTCCTGACGTCTGTCTGGTTGGGTCGTGCGGCCTCACATCCCATGTCCTCTTACCTTGCTGTCTTTGGTGTAGGCAAGAACCTTGTCCTCCTCCTTCGGGTGGAAGAGGAGGGTCTCCACGAGGAAGGGGACAGGATACTTCTGGAAGGTGGCGCCCTCATCGGTGCTGAGGAAGAGGCTCTGTTCCCGGTCACCAAGAGACGAGCTCACAAGGATGATCTGAAACACAGAATGGGAGACTGCTAAGAGGAGTACTGTCCCTCACTGCATCCCCACTCCTTCATGGAGGACCCCAGCAGGCAGAGCTAGGGCTTGGCATGGAATCCCAAAGCTCAAGGTCTCTGCCGTATGGGAGAGGAGGCTCTGGGGAGAGCTGGGACAGGTGTGGCCATGTGGGAAGTGGGTGATGTGAGTGGGGGTGTCTGCCCGAAGAAGAGGATGGGCGGTCGCCTAGAAATCATGGGGAGGATGAGCGGCTGCTGCAAAGTCACTGCAGCCAGCTGACGGGTGTCCTCTGAAAAGACGTACCCATACACCAAGCCCCTGGGAGAGCTGGGAGCACACCCTGCCCTAAGCCCCTCCATGCTGCATAAACAATGGCTTTGGGGCTCTTCTTTGCCTGCAAAGAGTCCATTTTACCAGCAGCGTTTGGCCCCATTTTCGGCACAAACATAGGCCAGGATGACTGTACCTTGGTGGGCTTGTAAAGAAGACCACCTGTGCAGCGAAATGACCTATTCCTAAAAGCAGACAGGGGCTCACCCTTGAGAGCGATCAAAGTAAACTGACCCCTCTGAGTACATGGATGTGTTCTGTCACACCAGGAAAAAACAGGCCAGGGTTTATCAGACACAGGAGACCGAAGAAAGGGTGCAACACCCTTACCCGGACTCCAGAGAGAAGAGGTCACCTGACACCATGATGGCAGCCTGGCATCGGCCTCGTGTGTGCACTGAGGAGCGTGCAGCAGAGAATTCCCAGCTGCCTTGAACACGTCAGCTTAACTTGCTTTCCATGGTTGACATGGCCGACTTTGACTGCTGTCCCCTTCCCTGCCCACCTGTTTGCCCATGTGACCTGACATTCATTCATCTATGTGTTCATCCCTCTAGGTCTGGTCCCGCCCTCCATCCCACAGTCTCCACTGTTGCGTGCCTCTTTCCTGAATCGTGATTGACCCGGAAGCTCGGCTCAGCTCTGAGCCCGAGGCTGACTTGGAAGCACAGCCACCAGCAGGCTTCGTCTTATTCCCCCAGGGACTTGCTTCTCTCCCCATCAGCTTGCTGCTTGTCTTCAGCTAGGTCTATCAAACTCCTCCATCTCAGCTGTAGCCTCTGCAGCCCTTTGTGTCCATGCTGTAAACTACTGTTTTAGTTAGGGTTTCTGTTGCGCTGATAAACACAGTGACCAAGAGCAACTAGGAGAGAAAGGGCTTCTTTCAACTTAACAACTCTCAGATCACACACTCTGCCATCAAAGGAAGTCAGAGCGGGAACTCAAAACAGGCAGGAACCTGGAGGCAGGGGCTGAAGCAGAGGCCATGGAGGGGTGGTGCTCACTGGCTTGCTGACCAGGCTTCCTTCAACAACCGGGACCACTTGGACAGAGTTGGTGCCCCCCACAGCGAGCTGAGTTCTCTCACATCAACCATTAAGGGAGAAAATTTCCCATAGGCCAATCTGGTGTGGGCATTTTCTCTCTTCAGGCTCTCTCTCCTCAGCATGACAAAAACAAATGAGAACACCTACCTGTAGAGATAGGCAGGCAGATACGTACATAAAAACAGGTGCGCACGCGCACAAACATCTTCTGTGTGCCATGCAACTGTGATCCGAGAGAATACCGGTAATTAAGATTGGAATAAAGAACCAGTATTCACCTTGGCCAGCTACCAAGGAAATCGGACTAGTTGGTAATTGCAGCCAACAGATTGAGGTGGCCTGTGAATTGAATACACTCTGACACTGTGAAAGACAGAAACATGTCCGTCCATCTTCCTGATGCAGTACACTCACAGCAACGTCCTTACTTGGGAGCATGGTCACTGGTGACAAGTGCAGGACCTCAAGAGGAGCCCATCCTGGGTTTAGGATAAGTCCACCAACTGTGCCCTCGTAAGAGGAGACAAGGGCACATGCTTCTAGAAGAGGCAGAGAACAATGGTCCCCTGGACCTCCTGGAGTGGAATCCAGCACAGCCTCCCTAGGATGCTCAGCCTCTACCCTGAGAGACAGTCCATACTCAGCCCTGTCACATACATCCTTAGCTGTGGCCGAAGCTCGGCTCAGGGTGACGGGGTGGGGAGACTCTGGCAGCTTGGTCTTGTGGTGATGCCACATCCCTTCGATGTGCACACCACACCCCTCTTTGGAGACCCGCAGGCTGGATGAGCACCCCAGGTTCTAGGTGTCTGATGAAGCTGATGAAGCTCCACGACTGGGGTGGTCTGTGCTCATCAAAGCCTCCCAAGGAGAAGTCACCACAGTACCCAGCTTTGTGCTATCCAGGACTCTCGGAGAACCTTGCTATGAGGCTTTCCTGTGCATGGCGAGGCCGCCTGGCCCACCACCTCTTAAACTATTGTATGCTGCTGAGTCCCCATGGATGCCTTCTCCTTTGGGCTGCTTGGGATATGGGATGGTCAAGAAAGGGAGCTGAGACCCCCGCTATCACACTGTGGCTCACAGGAGGGTTTCAGAGTTGAAAGGGGGGCTTGGGGGGCTCCTTACAAGTCAGACCTTAGGGTGGGGGCTGGGAAAGCTGGGAAAGTGACTTCACCACACAGCATCTGGGCAAGTGGTGCCAGAGTCATTAGTGCTGCAATCCCTGGATCAGAGCAGTGATGGCAGACTGGCTCCCTGCCGTGAACTCTCCAACCCCAGGCCACTGTCTGCCCCCCCCACACCACTGGCATCAGTGAAGTCCCTCTGGTGTAGTCATGGCTGGCCCGCAGTCACTCTCCTCATGTGCAGACTCAAGTCCTCAGGCCAGCCTCCCTCTCTGGGCCAGCTGCACTCCATGTTAACTATGTTGCCTTGATAGGACTCTCAAAGGGAATTCTCATCCTAATACCACCTCTGCTTGCCAGGTGTGGAAACTGAGGCACAGAGAAGGGAAAGAGATGTCAAGTTCACATGGATCATTGGGGGGGCAGGGGCAGGGTTTAAGCAGCTGACATGCTCTGTGGGGTACTGTGGTGGGAGAGACCCTCTGCTGGGCCTGGAGTTGGGGCAGGGCTGGCTGGGAACCGGCGTAGTTGAGGAACACACAGCTTCCTGGAGGTCACGGAGCACTGAGACCAGCCTCTGACTGGAAGCTGCTGCGATGGCCTTTCAGAGCTTATCTGGAGAAGACAACGAAGGGCCCAAGAGGATCAGAGAGCGCTTGCTCGGCTCCAAGTGAGCTTTCTTTCCCAGGAACGCTAACCAGCTCCCTGGAAACATTAATTAGCCTCCTCCAGCATAATGCCCACTACCTCTGTTCAGGAAGGCCTGGGAAAGACTCTCCCTAACAGGGACAAAGAGATGAGCCTGTGGGTGCAGGGGCGCGGGGGAACTCAGGGAAGAGCCGCAGAGGGCATCAAAAACCGGATACTGGGTGGGAACACAGGGGATGGGCTCTGTTCCCTGTGGTATAGTGACTGAGTCATAAGAAGCATGTGGCACTCTGCAATGTGATGAGCAGGGATGATGGACAGTAGTGACACCCAAGGCCGCGGAGGAAGCCAGCGCAGAGGTCAGTTTTAAGCAGAAAGTTAGGATTCCAGGTTTTACTTAAATAAATAAACGTATCCGCAGTGTTTGCAGGCGGGAGACGTGGCAATTGTCACAATGAGGGCGCCGATGTCAGCCAGTTAGTATTATCCAAACGTCACTGGGCTCAGACGCCACTGGCTCTCTGGTTCTGCCCCAGGACCTCACAGCCCACCCACGCGATTAGTTGGTCAGGTCTTCTGAGATCCTGTTGGGGAGTTTTAACGTCCCCTGCAGTGGAGAGGCATCCAGACTGGCTCCTGCAAGGGTCCCTCCAGGGAGCCTTGGCTATCGGTTCCCACATTTTCTCCCAGCAAACACTGCTGCAATGGTATTTGCTCTAAGATCACAGAGGGAGGTACTGTCACCTGCTGGCAGGTGGCCCCTTTGCGGGTGGCTTGTTTCTCTGCCCTCTTTGGAATGGGATGGCACCTGCCTCCCTGAGGGAAGTGACTGGAATTCTGCACTAGAACTGGTCTTGCCTGCCTCCCCTGCTATTGATTTAATCATCCAGTTATATCACCAGGGGCTCATGAATATTTATTTTACACTTTGCATTGTAATTCACAAACTGTTTTTGCTCAAAGCATCCAGCTGTAGCTCTTGGGAACTTTCGGCTCCCTGTGTCCCTTCTTCCTTAGATAATCCAAACTATGTGTAGACACACCTGGACAAGAAGAAAAATGACACAAGCCACCCTGACATCCTGTGTTTGGCTCACCAAACACCCACCTGACGTTCTTTCTCCACCCCAGGCTCTGGATGCACCCCTGGTTTGCCCAAATCCTCTTCCCAGAACCCTCTCATAAGACTCTTTCCCATGATGCACTCCCACACCGCAACTGTTTGCTGTGGGCCTCCTGTTTGGATGGCATGCTCTTGGGCAACTCTTATTTTGTACCTCTGGTGACCACCAGCACAGGTGTGGGTGGAGTTGGCAATTGGCCCATCCTGGGTGGATAAGGGATAGAACTCCAGCATGGATGAGGGGATGGCCAGCCCCACCTCCACCTGGACTCCCATAGGATCCCGTGTCTAGTTTTCTCTTTGGGAGAATATCCTCATGAATACTCAAGTAGCCCAGAGGCCAACAGCCAGAAAGTTCCATTCACTTCTTCCTCTTCACTGTTCCCAGTAGCACACATTAGTGAAGGCTCATTCATTCATTCATTCACTCATTCATTCATTCATTCTTCAATGGCTGCTGAACCATGAGAAAGAAGGGGCCTTCTCTGATGAGCCTTGAATGGGTAGATTTGACTGGCAGACCAGGGTAGGGAGGTAATGGGATAGGGTCACAAAAGCAGGGTCCCTGGCCCACCTTCCATCTCCATCCCAGGCTCCTGTATCAGTCACCTCAATTCTGTATTTCTGCAGTGGGCTGCGACAGCAGGCACCTTGCCTTTCTGGGCATGTGCTGCTCCTTGCACAGACACACAAGAGAATGGAGATACCCTGACTCTGATG